TTATTTCTTCTTTTATAACAGACTGCAATTTTCTGCTATTTTCTGCAATGAGCTGGTTGACCACAGATGGACTTGGCACTGTGTAGCTGTCGTTCAGTTTCATAACGAACTTTTTGAAAGCTGGTTTGTTGTGTGTGTCCTCGGTCCATGTCATGGAGTCCATGTCATGGACCGAGTTGAACTCTGCTCCAGTGCTAATATGTTTTCCAGGTTAACAGGAATCATCAAATGGTAATAAAGTAGCTAAGTTCGAAACGATTTATTGGAAAACGGTGCAAGTGATTGGCTTCAGAAAGTACTCGTTCATTTTAAAATTGAAAGTCAAGTTTATACAAACAACTTGGTAAGGTGTATGAGAGTTGTAGTCTCCCATTGTCTGAGACTAATCGTCTGCGAAGACTCAGTCAGTACACGATTGATTGGGAGTTTTTGTAGTCAGTCGTTCATAAGGATACTTACAGCACAAGTTGTTGGGATTGTATTCACTTGGCACTAATGTTCCATTGATACGTAGATAGCAACAGGCCATCGTCGACCTTTGATAAGCCCCATTGCAACACATATGAGTAGATGACTGAAACGATTTCCATGAATGGGAATTTGTGAAACTGGGTGGATGTACCTTGAAGGGTACTAGCGTCTTATCATTCTTCTCACAGCAAGAGTCAAAGTTCGTCTTCTCGGACACCTGAAAACAAAAATGAAAAGATGTTGTGCAACTCTTCATGAACAACTTGATTTCCACAACAGATTTGAGTACGTCCACCATCGAAGACAGTACTTCCACAGCAAACATCGCTAGGCGTGATAGTTCTGAAGGTGAATTGAGATTCTGTTTCTGCATAACTAATTGAATACCTCGCAAGTGTTTGATTGCAGCATAAATAGGTTTTGTCTAGTTTCGAATAGACAGCTTGACCACAGCAATCTCCATTAATCATATTGTGAACCTTTAACAATCATAAGATGACGATGAATAAGCATGATCAGAGATGATACCACGCCATTACAGCAGGTTTGATCATATCGAAGGACTTCTGTACCACAACATAGTTCTGCATAACTTCCTCCACGGTTTCTTTCACGAACAACTCCTGAGCAGCACAAATGGGAATACGTGTTGTACGGCTCATTTCCACAACACGAAACTCCGAAAAGATCTTCAACCCTTTCGAAACTTTGACAAGCAATGTTCAATCCACCACAGCATGCGCGAATTTCTAGTGAAAAGATAAAATGAGTTGAAGAGTAGCTGTGATGTGAAGGCGTTACCTAGCTGCGCAAGAACATCACTTCCAACAGTCATCAAAACAAACGTTATGAATTGAAATTGTCTTTTCATGATTGAACTAAATATTAATGAGAATATAGTTATGAATGAGGGCTGGATAGAGAGACTAGTAAGCTAGAACAAGCACTAACAGTTCGTTTTCACAAATATGAGAAGATGAGTGTCTATACAGAGAGCGAACGAAAACTGAATGCTGAGCTGAAAAATGAAGAATATCCCATATGGTTATGATATACTCCTCTCTTTGTTTTCCATACTCCGAAGGTATGATATCTTCTCATTATCTCTCAGTCTCTCTCTCTCAGTCTCTCTCTCTCTCTCTCTCTCTCTCTCTCTCTCTCTCTCTCTCTCTCTCTCTCATATCCTCTCTGACTCTTTCGTAACAGTATGCACGTGCTCTTGTGTATTATTTTTCCATATATAGCTTTGACCAGCTGGACTAACATATGAAATATCTTCATATACACCTTGTTCATGTGCTCTCAGTACAAATTCTTGTGGATGATGTGTCGAGCGTCTAAAAATACTTTTTAATTTTTTATTTTCCTTTATATGAAAATATGTTTTTGGGTGTTTCTTCAACAACACATTTATATAATATATTTGGTTGTCTTAAGTGTTTCTTCAGCTCCTCCCACAAGTAGATGCAGACGTTCTCGGAAGTGCTCGGCACATTCTGAATTATTCATCATTCATAATCACATCTAATATGTGTTGCAACTTTGAAATACGCAATATCTTTATCAATATTCCGATGGTCGATTGTGTCGAGAACGATAGCCATACACTTCTTCAGTTCTGCCAAATCGAAAACCATTCCCGTCGTCTGGTCAAGCTCTCCTTTGAGAATGACCTTAAATGAGACTGAATATATTCAAATGACTTGAAAACAGAACAGACTCTCCAAACATAGTTGTGTCCATGTCCATTTGTATTATTGCATTTCCCATAGACAGTCTTATTCTCTTCATCTGACAGTTTATGTGAATGAAGACGATGTGCAGATGAGAATGTCTCAACGCGTTCCATCGTTACAAGAGGCATGTTCTATAACGAAATTTGAAGAAAAACATTTTTTTAAAGAATCTAGTTAAGAGTAGTGTTTGGTTCGGTTATGAACGAACAGAATAGCCATATATGGCAGTTATTACGTACGAGAGAAGGCTGAGCTCGGAATCAATCAGGTTCGAATGTATAATTCATTCGTTCTCAGCTCTCTAAAAATGACCGGAAACAATCGGTATTCGGATCGATGGCCCGACAACAACGTACTAGAATGGAAAGAAATTAGCATAAGAGGGTGAAAACAGAAGAATTTTGATTGAAAAAAACTTTTTTTGGTTTTTGATAAGATAAGGATGTGAGAGTGATCAGACTAACCTCTATGATAACACTTTCATTTAATCAGAGAATGAACAATTTGAAAGAAAACAGAAACACGATATGAAACAACAACAAAACGAAGATCATAAGCTGGAGGTGTGGATGAGAGTATAGGTCTATCCACCATCAGTGGTTGTGTCGGCATCTTGACAAACGCCACACGTTCGTTTGCATTTCTGCCTCAACTCGCAGTAGTTAAGGTTATCGCAGTATTGGAAAAATAGAGCACAGTCATAGCAATCATCAAAACATCCTTCACCTTCAAAGCGTTCATATGAATCTTAGTTTCAGATGGATATAGACTTACAACAGTAATCACACACACATGTATATCCATCGGGACAGTCACCACCCACACAAGCTTCAAACATATATATTCTCAGTATAATATGAAGTTTTGTACAAAATTACGTCCTATTGCTCTCCTTCCATATCCACAACCACACCATGAGTTGTCAGTGATAGGTTGTAATGCACATCCTGTTCCACCTCCAACTGCTACTCCACCTCCTGTTTGAGCAGCAGAATATTCCATGCACAAAAATAAAAGGAAGCAAACAATGACGATACTATTGTTGTCTGAAATAGATGATAGCCATATGCGAGTTGAAAAGTAGTAGTATCAGCTTACATAATGGAATCTTTAACATATCAATATGACAGCTCTAGTCACTGAAGGTGAGACAGACAGTCTGTTGCTCCGAAAAAGAAAGAAAATGTCGAAGTTATGGGAAATCTTAAACATCGATACATCATAGAGAGAGAGAGTATTATAAGAGATATGTTTACTTACTCATAATCGCACAGCTCCTTTCCATTGAATATTCAAACCAATAACTACAATTCTGTTTTATAATGGTCAGTTCAATACCTACAAAAGTCACACATGTGCACAATTAGAGCAAACAATGCTTTGGCTATTTTTTATTTCTTCACCTCATTGCAGAGTAACTGCTCTCACCAAACACCATACCTCTTCATCAACAAAATATATTTTCAACCAAACATGTGTGGTGTTTTGACTTTCTCCTTTACCATTACAGCCCATCAACACAATACTCTATGATAACTCTTCAACTCTAATTCACACTTTCAACAGAGATAGCCGATCATGGCTTCGGGAGTAATTGATCAGTGTTTCTTCATCCTCCATTGCTTACTTCTGTCTCACACCTTGTCTCTCAAGAATCGAATCTCTTTTATCTTCCTTATTAGCTTATCATTGTTCTAAGAGGCAAGGAAAGTTTGGTTCAACCGAATAAGGTGGTATGTTAAGGTTTTTCGAGCCAGTCAATATCATGAAATGGCTCAGCTAATCTCACCCTTGGCGTTAATTGGATACCGTTACGTCTATCCTACACCTGCATCATTCTTCCTAGAAATTGGAAGTTCCTGAAATCGGGAGTTAAAGAGGAAATAAAAAACGAAAGAAGGAATACATAAATACATAGAAATACATATTGATTACTATTGCCACCCAAAGTGTATCTGTGTCTCCTCATTAAAGGAATTCTATAGTTAAGATTTCAAAAACTCTATGATTACCCTTGTTCACGATGAGAATTCACATTACGTCCTCAGTTCTCGTTTGGACTCTTCGTTGAGAACGAATGTGGAGATTTGAAGTGACTGTACGGGTGTATAGTCATCGGAGAAACGTACTGATGCATAAGAACGTTTATAATCAGAATGAGATATAACAAAAACAATTAACAACAACAACAACAAAACATATTTTTTCTATTTGAATAGCGACATGTATAACTCGTTTCGAGCTTCATGTGACCACGTAGATGTTTCTGGTCGAGCAGGATGGAAATTCAATAATGCTGGTATAGGCACATACTTGATGGTACGATCCTAGAGAGAAAGAGAGAGATGTAAAATAGAGCGATACTTCAATCACCAACCTTTACTACCCCTCTGTCATGACGCCGCTTTTTCTGTCTCTTATTTTGAAGCTTCTTCATTTCAATATAATGTCTAAACAAGAGAATTCTGAATTGTTGGAGGCGAAAACAGACCTGGTCATTGCAACTGGATCACTGACGGTTTTCGCTTTCTTATCAATTAGTTCTTTCAACAATATATCGTTGAAGTCATCATCATCAAAGATTTCCTCGTCGACATCAGCTTCATCATCACCTCCAATTCTGTCACCTTCAGCACGCTTGACATGGAATTTTCTTTCTACTTTCTCGGTGTCTCGCATTAGCTGAGAGAATGCAATCAACAGAATCTGGACGCTTTCAACTTACGTTCCTAATCTGTTCCGAAATGCCTTCTTTGAGGAAACTTGAGAAATCAGATGCGGATATCTTTCCGTGAGGCGAAACTAGTTTTGTTCGACTTTCCCACTTCTTAATAGTTTCCTCCCTGTAAAACAAAAGTTAATTCATTTGAGAGCTCAAAAATACCTGAATTTGGAATAGTTCATCTCACGTTCTTTCAAGATAGATTCCACTTCTTTGAAGCTCAAAGCCTTCTTAGAACCTTTTCCAGCGTTCGAACTGAAGCTTGAACAGATTATACTGATATCAATACCTTCCTACCGTTCTTTCTCTTCATCTTCTTCCATATCTTCCTCATCTTCTTCCTCGTCAAGATCAGCTTCATTATCGTTTTCGTCTTCTTCTTCATCACCTTTGGCTCCGTTTTCATCTTCATCGTCGTCTTTTTCATCTTCACTACTCTCAATTTCTTCGTCATCAGAGTTGTTCAACACTGTAAGAGAAAGAAATCACACATGAGTTTGAGAAAGTCACCAACTTAGCCCTTCTAAAGCACCTTTCGATTGAACACTTCCATCAACCATCAACTTCTCAGCGTCCAAAAGGTTCAGAATGAGATGCTTGACATTCGAACGAGCTAAGATAAAGGAGGAATTGATGGTTTATATGTATATTAATACCTAATTTGAAATTACGCTTCGTGTCTTCATCAGCTAAAGCCAAAAGATCGGTTGCTTGTTTACCGCGAGGCAACCTATTGAAAGACCGCATGGCACTTTGCAACTTAATTTTCAGAAACAGCACTTGATCCCAAAGCTTAATTTGATCAGCAACATCGTTGGCTAAATCACAAAACAATCAACACAAATAGAAGAATTGAAATACCTTTTTTGAGTTCTTTGTCGTTATCTTTCTCACTAAGAACTTCGTTTACTTTTATTTTGGTTCTTTTCGCAGAAGGTTCTCCGTCTTCATTTTCTTGATCTTCGTCTTCCTCTTCTTCCTCCTCTTCCTCATCATCATTATCTTCTTCTTCATCATCGAAATCATCTTCCTCATCATCTATATCTTCGTCAGAGCCATCAGTTCTGGTTTTGTTTCGTCCTAACTGTAACTGCTCCAGCGCTTCTGAATCAGTTCGAAAAGTAAAGAAAGAAATTCGGATTATTGATTCAAACCTTCTCCGGAGAAGTCGTCGTCTTCTTCCACACCATGTCCAAGTTTTATTTGTTCGTCATCGCTGATGTCGCTTTCGTCCTCTTCTCCCTCATCTTCATCATCACTATTCTCCTCATCATTGCCTACACAAAAGTATTTAAGGATACTTATTTATATGAACTCACTTTCTGTGGGGTTAAGGTCTCCTAGTTTACTAGACTCATCAAAGATATCTTTGCGAGAAACCTGACAGAGAATACAGTCATAGAGAATTAGCATAGTAACTTACCTTTGTCCCTCTATATTTAGCATCATTTAATGCTAAACCCCTTCTCAATTTAGATCTACCCGCTGGCCCTGATTGCTCGAAGTTATCTTCGCCACGCTCGACAAGTTTTCCTGATTCCACTGAAAGGAGACTGTGTATAAATTGAATTGAAGCGAATATACTTACAATCAGTGGACTCCAAATCTGGTAAACTTGGTGCCGTTGTTGACCATGCTTTCACCTGATCGAGGAAAGACATTCTGAAACATTCAAAAAGTAGATGAAGAAGCAACAGTTAACAAGGAAGACAAGAGAAATCTATTCTTGAAACAACAGTCTACAAATCAATCGATATTAGAGTACAGTGGACAGTTGGCATGTCAAATATGGATTATCAACTAGAAACTAACAAATTCAGGTTAACAACTTTCAAATAATCAGAAATTATTCATCTTTCAACGGTTCCACGACCGATTGTATTCATTTATTACATTCGAAGCATCCCGTCTGCTTATTTCATATTAAACTCCGCGCTATTTGCGTATCCTCTAGAGTATTTCAGAATCTTAGGAGACAGAACCTGTGAACTTTTCACGATTTCTATTTATTCTGATATTCAGAATAAAAAATTGATTTCCAAATGTACCGACCATTTTCAAATGCGGTAAGGATTGCAGTACTGGACTGTAGTCGCTTGAAATAAACTGCAGTAGTAGAGTAAACTAATTCTATTTCAATGAATATTTCATTATCGCAACATATAATATTTAAATATAGTAACTTTCCATCTGTTTCATCTTCGTTTTCATCTTCTGCGGTACCTAGTCTTTGCAATCGACGAATGGCTTGTCTTCTTGTTCTCAGGCTGCTTCTTCGAGACCGTTCCCTTTTTGTTTTTTGAAACTTCTGACACTTCTTGCTTGGAACTGTTTTTTGATATTTGATTTTCATAGTTGACTGTAGAGTTTAAGTTGAAACTTGACTCAAAAGTTTGATGATTTCGCGAACAGTAAAAGAGACCCGGTGCCTGACTGGATTACATCCAGAGGCTCAGGTACTGACTGCTGAAACAAGAGGACGAGTCAAGAAACAGACCGAAGGTTCTCATGATAACCTCCCAAGAATTTCAGGTTAACTTTGGATTTCATTCAATTTCCACCTTTTTTCAAGTAACGAAATATCTTTTTTGACGCCAGTTTTGCCTACATAATCAGGAAAGGAGCTATGTGTGAAGCATTGAAGACAACTATTTGTAAAATGATTTACAAATCCGGAATACAACTTTGAACCTCAAATCTCTGTTATTACCAAAATTCCATCAACGGTGATAGGTTGAAGTCACAAACGGGGTTATCCTCCACAGGAAGAGGAGAAGAGAAGGAGTGTTTACTGGGATATCAAATATGATAATGAAGGGTTTGAGAAAAACACAAACAGATCAGAACAACAATTGAAAAGTAGTAATTTTCATTCAGATAGCCTTTGAACGCGAAATAAAGATATTCGTTTGTAATACTGCCATTCTAAGAACTGCCAACCTCTGTCCCAATTTAGAAAAGATTTGTTTCCGTGTTACGAAGTGTCGGCTTGGTCGTTTAGGTTAAAATAGATAACTCCTCACGGGACCATGAAGATATGGGGGTATGCTTGAGCTGCTGCTGCTGCTGCCATTGAAACTTACATGACAGAATGGGTTTGAATAGCATATATGAGACATCTCAATACAGCTTCACTTCTCCTGAGCTGCTCAGATAGTTGCATGCAGACCGAGAGAGAGAGAGAGAGAGAGAGAGAGAGAGAGAGAGAGAGAGAGAGAGAGTGAGTGTGTCAGGTTGATTCCGTGATCTTTCATGTCTTACCCAACATTTATCTTTCCAACTCGGAGAAACGTTCAAATTCGTTGCAGCATCTAATGAAATTATGGTTCATGCTCTTCCAAACTCAAAATTTGAATTGTGTAAAGGAAGAAAAATCCAAAATTTATACGAATTTGTCGGTTCTTCAATTGTGCAACGTTGGTTTCGTTTTCAATATTATCGAAACTACATTAATTTGTTATTCCAATTATCTGATACGAGCAGCTGAAAATCAACAAGTCAACAGGCTCCTTTGTATTTTTCAGAAATTCAAGCTCAACTTGCGTGTTTAAAAGAATATTTCTTGTTTAACATTGTTAGCATGATCATCAGACAAGAAAGACTCGTTTGCCTTCTTCTTCAACTGTTTTCGAGAAAATATAGTTTAACTACCTCGATTCTTCCTTTTCAGAAAACCAACTCTTCATTGTGATGTTTTTGGACTTTGATATTAATAACTTTCAACGCAGTATTATATATGATCTGTTTCATATTCTTGAGATGTTCATCGATGTTATTGCTCTCATCGGTCTTTCTGTTTGTCTACGTGTATTCATTATAAGCCCTCAGTTCCATGTTCATCTCATTACCCTCATGATCAATACAGCCATACAAGGTATTCTTTTGGCAATGCACAACATATTACTACAAGACTCGTTTAAGCATACACTATCAATTTCAATAGATTAGTGATGATTGTCATATCGCTCCTTTATCCCAAAGAAGGTCAGTTTGAGTTATTGAGTAGCCGACTGTTCTGAATGTATCCGTTCGAAATTCTCAAGAGCCTTCGAATGGTTGTCAGAAATGGATATCAGTCATTCACTGCTATTCTTCACACGTTGAACTGCTTGATCTCTCTTCTAATAATGCTATTCAGAATGGAACTCCAATACCATTCTATGCACAATGATCAAATGTTTCGATCTCATTCACTTCACTTCTTGTATAATTGTTGTTATGAGCCTTCCGGTTATCATTGGTGAGTTATCGATGATATCTCATAAGCGAAAATATCGTTCTAGGTGAAAGGTTTCTTGCAACCATTTTTTTGTCAGATTATGAACATCGTCGTAGTTGGGCAAAGTTAGCTATCACTATCATACTTCAGTACGTATTTGGATTCATGTTGACCTATGCTTTGTCTAGAGGTAAAGTTCCTTTTGCTCTTCGGTAAATTTATTTGGTCCATTTAGGATGGGTTCCTATGATACCTTCATTACTCTTGGGCATATTTTTCACAGCTTGTGCCGTGACTGCTTTTGTTTTATTAAACAGGTTTGTCGCCTTCTTTCGAAATGCCTAAGTATGTGTTGTCAGAATCAATCATAGGAGATATCAGAAATCCAAAAATGTTGGTACAACCTATACTCTGACTGAAAGGTATCAGCTAGCTGAGAATATCCGAACTGCTCAAATCATGAAAAACTGTTGCTTCCTTGCTTCTTTTCTCAATACAATCGGCGCGGCTGTAAGTCAGGGTGAATGTATATTCATAATAAATTAATCATAGGTTATCTGCGCTCTATATGCATACCGCGACAAGGAAGTTTTGCCACATATCTTTTTTGCTTTATTCAATTTAACGACTGTTGCCTATTCCATTCTATTTCCGGTTGCAGGCATGTATAGCCATGAAGTGTGGAAAAACAACTTCATATTGTAAGCCTTTTTGCTATGGTTACTGATCCAGTAAAACCATCTCAGAACGTTACGACGAATAATCCCCTGCAAAAGACTTTTATACAAAGCGAACGATGCGGAGAGTCAGGATAATCCATTACGGAATACGGACGGGTCTCGAATGTCTTTCAGTGTGGATGAGCAGAGGAATTACTACTTCAAATCGCTCATCTCATCGTGGAACTGATTAGTACATTTTCTATTTTATCAAAAAAATAATATATTTACATTAGTCAATATGTATAAAATTTGTAACAGATCAAATCAACAACGCTACCACGTATATATAAATCTATTCGAATCAATGCTGTGTCCATTTGATGCTGTTCAAGTCAATTCCTTCTTGCACCATCTCCCACAGTGGACTCAACTCGCGGAGGCGCTCAGTCTCTCGAACGCACAAGTCAATTGTGTGTTTGATCTGAATAATTAATATCTCGAAACTAATAGATTCATAAGGCATACTTCTTGTTCTGTAGTGAATCTACCGATACCGAAGCGAATCGAGGAGTGTGCAAGATCTTCACCGGTTCCAATAGCACGAAGAACGTATGATGGTTCCAAGGATGCTGAAGTGCAAGCACTACCAGAAGAAAGGGCGATAGTCTTCAGGGCCATCAATAAAGATTCTCCTAAATAAGAATATGCTGGTTGGCTGCTGCACAAATCGAACCTTCTACATAAGCGAAAGAAAGGTTAACACATCCCGGATAAGATTTATCGGGGTCTCCATTTCTTATAATGTTTCCAAGTTTGTTTTGAACTCCTTCAATGAGCATATTTGATAGTCGCTTAACGTGAGCTGAGTCCATTTCTGAATCATGATTGTTCAGTTTAGTTAATTCATATATTTCAAACCAATTTCCTCTTTAGCTATTCTGCATGCTTCTCCGATTCCAACACACAAAGATGGAGCAAGAGTTCCTGAACGGATTCCACGTTCTTGTCCTCCTCCACTCATTTGAGCCTCCAATCTCACTCTGGGTCTTCTTCGAACATAAATTGCTCCAACACCTAGAACACATCTTAGCTTCTGACGATCGTTTGCACTCACCTTTAGGTCCATAAATCTTATGACCTGAGATAGACATAAGATCAACCTTCAATGCGTTGACGTCAATGGGAACTTTTCCAACAGCTTGTGCACCATCAGTATGGAAATGGATCTTCTTTGAGCGACAGAGCTCTCCTAAACATAAAGTTCAGACAGTATGTTAGAGCCATCAGACCAATTTCGGCAATAGGTTGAACTACTCCAATTTCATTATTGACGAACATCACAGATACGAGACAAGTTTCCGGTGTAATTGCTGCTTCGACATCCTGCATGACATCATCATAACAAACGAGGAACAGATTAACCTTACTTTCAACTCAACAAGTCCCCCATTATTCACTGGCAAGTATGTAACTTTGAATCCTTCAGACTCCAAAGCACGACAGGAATCGAGAACACATTTGTGTTCCTTAAAACCTTATTTAAACAGAAGAAGCGGGTATGAAAACCGTTTGAAGTGTGATGACATGGTTCTTTCCCGTATGTCGTTGAAATTTAGCAACACCCTTGATGGCAATGTTGTTGGACTCTGTAGCTCCCGAAGTGAAAATAATCTCTCTAGGATCGGCCTACAAAAACATGAAGAGCTCAGTTGTTTTCGAGTTATCACTTTAATCAGAGCAGCAATGTGTTCTCTGGCTTCTTCAACTGCCGTCTCAGCTTTCCAACCATACGCATGAGTTCTGGAATGGGGATTTCCGAAATCGTTAACCATGTAAGGAAGCATGGCATCGACTACTCTGGGGTCCTATAATAAACTGTCTATGACCCAAATGGCACGTATACTAACCATAGGCGACGTTGCCTGTACATCTAGATAAATAGGTGAAGTTGACTTGGGATCAACCTTCTGGCTGGCGAAACCTCGTCGCGAGGAATTGATAAGTCTGATTCCTCGTCGAAGCATCTAACACAATCACATTATTTTTGATTCCAAGCGTATAGTCCGGACAATGTATGAGTTGGTAGGACGTTACCCCAATAAGTATGAATTAGCATAGTTTTGAATATTTATAAGTCATGAAAACATTTCTGGAGGTTACTATCAGCACAAGAAGATACAACGTTATCACGAACATGGCTACATAGTTTTGTTTATGAAAAATTACAAGAAAACAGTGAAGTTTTTTCTTTCAACGGTTAATGAATGACAATAACGAAAAAGTTCTTGGGTAACTACAAAAACCTTGAATTACCAAGAGCACATGAGAGAAGGCGAGCTTATCGGTGAACGAACGTAACAAATTGACACAGAACCGATTATACTTAATTACTGAGCATTTGGCCTGCTATAAAATGGAACACTGAGAAATCTCAGAGAGACACCAGTAGAAGAGAAGATTTAATTATAAACAGGGAATACAGCAAAAGCCTCGTCAGCACTTTGTATAAATAGTACTTAAAAAACGATTGGAATAGCTGATTGCGAAGTGTTTTAGTACCTTATGCTATGAGCTTCATGTCTTCCTTAATATCAGAAGACATAGATTGGCTACTATTACGTCTCGCTTTTTCAACAACAGGATGGAAAAATGGATGATCCATAGCTTCGCGAGCTGTAAGACGTTCCTGCAAATACTTCCGGTTACATTTTTAATTTTCTAACTCAAAGCACCTGGTGATCATAGCGTAAAAGCCGATCCAAGAAATCTATAGCATCATTGGAAACGAGGTGTTGATTTTCTGTATGGATAAATCTGGAATGAGGAAGAATAAACAGGAGTGTACGAGTTCACACAAACCGCTCCCATCTCTTCTTAGAATGTCTTCCAAGAATATCGTTAAACCGGGGATCTAAGTCGATGTGATACTTCTCGATATACTCGAACAGCTCTTCGGTTCCCAAGACCTTAGCGATACGAACCAGCTGCAAAAAATCTGATTCAGATCACACCTGGAAAAGATACGAACCTGATCATAGTTGTCGTGGCCATGGAAGAAAGGCTCCTTTCTGAAAATCATACTAGCCAACATGCAACCCAAACTCCACATATCGAGGGAATAATCATAGCATTGATAATCGACAAGCAACTCGGGTCCCTTCAAGTCAAATATTCATAAAATTAAAATTTCTGAAAGCACCTTGAAATATCTGGAGGCTACTCTAACGTTATAGTCTTGTTTAGGGTGGTAAAATTCGGCTAATCCCCAGTCAATCAAACGCAACTTGAAAATTCGAATCAAAAAAATAAATTTGCATAACAAAAACCTCTCTCTTCTGATGATCGATCATTACATTATGAGGCTTGACGTCTCTGTGCATAATACCTTGTGAATGACAGAAATCGAGTGCCTAGAAGCCATGTGATGCATAGATGTTTAATGAAAAGATGACAAACCTTAAGAAGCTCATACAAGTAATACCGGATGTCATAGTCGCTTAAGGTTTGGTATAATAGCTTGAAATCAGAATTATTTACATGTCTAAAGTGAAAATGAAACGGTTAAAATATTTACGATCAAACAAACTCGAAGATAAGGGCAGGGGTTCTGGACACGGGGTCCTTCACAACATCCAATAAAGTGATAATATTCGTGCCTCCTCTCAAGTTTTCAAGAATTTTAATTTCTCTTTTGATCTTCTTCTTCTTCACTGGCTGCAAACCGAAACTTAGAAAAACGAAGTAAACGCCACGAACCTTCAGAATCTTCACGACAACGTTCTCATCCGTGGTCACTTTCATTCCTTCGAATACCTAAGAAACAAAGATCGTTTGCTGAACTTTGGTGCAAGCATACTTCTGAATATTTACCGCGTCCAAGCTTCTTGATGAGTTGATAGTCATCAATGGATCCCCAATCAATTACATGACATTCATAATCCCAGTATTCGCGTGGTTTGTTTGGATTCACCTAAGAAACATGACTAATCAAAATTCATTAAACACGAAGCTTACATCTGAATAAACTCTCGATTTACTGGAAATCGGAGCCATACTTCAAGTCAATGCCAAGGATGAGATAGCTGAAAAATCGAAAAAAAAGATATATAATGTTTTAAAAAAAGCTTAAACAGATTAAAATTCGCACGGGAACGCGACACACCTCGAATATCGTGCTACCGTACCATGTTCCGTTTGGGACAATATTCAAAATTTTAAACTTCAGCCCTTTACTCTTTGTCATCCACTTCTTGGAACGTCAGATTATCTTTAATTATTATAATTTTTTATCGTATATTCATTAAAATATTATAGATGTTGGGTACTTCCCGCTTGAGGGAAGCGTTCGGGCTCTGTTCAGCCATTCGAGCGTGCCAAGCACCCACATGCTCCACGAGGGTACGGGTTTTCTTGACTTCAACCTTCAAGAAGAGCTATTTCAGAACACTTGGGTATTAAGGAGGGTTTATGCCCCAGAAGTAACACCTCCGGGAGGAATTCAGCGGAATCCTAGAGAATTACCTGATCTTCAAAAGTTGGAGGTTGTTGATTTTGAAACAAAGAAGGCCGCGGGGCCTCTCAAAGTCATTCTGTTAGAGGATATTGAAGGTATTCAGATTTCGGAACAATTCCGTATACCACTTTCATTCTAGGCATTGGACATCAATTTGATATAGTTAGCGTTGATAGAAAAACAGCTCGCACTGATCTCCTTCTGTCTAGAAAAGCTGTTTATGCTTCTCCTTTTGACATCGAGTACTATGCAAAGATGAAAGAAGTTAGTTTCTTCGTTTCTTTCTCAGATTATTTTTGAAAATTCAGAAAATGGCAGACGAACTCGCTGCTCGAGTCAGAATACCTTTCGAATTCTTATCTGTTGGACGAGAACTTCAGAAGCTTGTTGTCCCAATTAAGGTTTTTTGATTCAAAACTTTTTCCGAGGTTAATTTTCAATATCTTAGGTGAGCATGGACAACAAATGGACAATCGATCGCCAAATACTGAAAACATCTCTTCGACAAGTGGTATGAGTTTCAAGCAAACTGAACGATTTGATTTGTTTAATAATTGCAGGGTGTTGATATACTTGATGATTCCATATACTTAGCAGACGAACCTGTGTCAGGTCCTAACTTTGAATTAGAAGCTATGTTAGTTCGATTCTACGTTACAGTAAGTGTTTCATTACGGTTCTGTTAACTAGTTGTATGATTAAGGTTTCGAAGCAATACATTGTGCCCATGCTGGGTAGATTAACGCATATTTCCGTGGATGAGTCGAAACAAGTATGATCTCGTTTCTTGATTTATCTTTACAATTGCTTTCAGATTCTGTCACCCTCTGGCTCAAAATTACCGTCGGCAAAGGATCTCAGTAAGTATGGATTAGTGCCTGAGAAGCCATTCTACAGTAAAACGGCCGAGTTCGAGAGTGACTATCCAGTCTTCGATTTCATGCAAAAAAAGAGGATAAAATCAAATTAGAGACATTAATAGATTGTACATAGGTTGTTATATTGTTTTATTTCTTGTTAAAGTTCTTCGTCATATCCGTGTTATCCTTCCAAAGAAGTTTTCATCTTCTTCCACTTCTATCTTTCTTCGTTTAACTGTTTAAATGTCTCATTTGCATATTATAGGAAGCTAAAATGGTTTTGGAAAGTACTATGATTTGGTTCGTTCACTTACATATTCCTCTTCATTCATCTATATATCTTTCAGCGTCGACAACTCTGAGTGGATGAGAAATGGAGATTTCGTTCCTACTCGTCTCCAATGTCAACAAGACGCTGCTAACCTTGTAATGAATTGTAAACTTCGAGCTAATCCAGAAAATGCAGTTGGACTTCTTTCCATGGCTAAGTAAGCTTGACTATGATTTCTTATTTTACTTTTTCTTTACAGTGGAGTTCAAGTGCTGTCAACCATGACTCAAGAAAATGCTCGATTATATATGAAACTTCATCAACTCGAACCAATGGTAACTAATCTTCATGAGTCAATCATAATATTATGAACGTTTCAGGGAAAATGTAATTTCTTGGCTTCTTTCAAAGTTGCCCATTTGGCTTTGAAACACAGACAGAACAGAAGCCATCGTATGAGAGTTGTTCTGTTTATTGGTAGCCCAATCGAAGAAGTCGACACTAACGAGGTGCGAGTGCTTTTGAATTCAAGGGAGAATTCTCATTTTTCAGTTAACCAAGTTGGCTAAGAAATTTAAAAAAGAAAAAGTCGATTGCGATGTTATTTGCTTCGGAGAAACTGATTCTGAAAACAGTAAATTAATGGGCCAGTTTATTGATACTCTTAATGGAAAGTGAGTTGGAACACCCTGAAGTGATAATCTAGTGTTTACATCCACAGAGATGGCACAGGATCTAACCTTGTCGTGGTTTCTTCTGGATCTACCCTTACCGACGCTCTTCTTAACTCTCCTGTCTGTCGCGGCGAAGATGGAGGAAACGCTAACATAGGTGGTGGAGGATTCGAGTTCGGTGTTGATCCCGATGAGGATCCTGATCTTGCCTTGGCTCTCCGTGTATCTATGGAAGAAGAACGTGCTCGTCAAGCAGCAGTCGCTGCTGCTTCTGCTGGAACAGATGGCAATGCTGCTGAAACAACTCCAATCGCATCTGGAACTGCTGAACCTGATGTTATGGATATTGATATGGGTGCTATGACTGAAGAGCAACAACTCGAATGGGCTTTGAGAATGTCAATGCAGAATGATGAACCCGGTAAGGGTGTAAAAGAGAAAACGTTTTCACTTTGTGGTTTTCAGCAACTCCCGGAGGAGCGGAAGTAGAAGTAGATGTTCATGATAATCTCGATGAATTAATGGAAAATCCTGAACTGCTTCAACAAATTGTGAATGAGCTGCCTTCAGGCAAAGATAAGGTTAAGAAGTTTGGAGACAATCATTACATTTTTGAGTTTTAGAAAGAAGACGACAAGACGGAACAGAAGTAAGGGTATGATATATGTACTAACCGATGATGGCTCCATATTTATTTGCTTTTGTGTAAACATAAATAAACGTTTCACTTGAATTTAAAAATCTATGAATTTCTCACATTGCAGTTATCAAGAATTATTTTTCTTTCCTATATTGCTTTAGAACATCTTCCATTCGACTGGTTAACTCGGAAGCAGACGGCAACTGAGGGATCTAATTAGAGATCAGATTAGAGAGAAACTTAAAACAACCGACTTCGTAGTTCTGAACGCTGTAGGCTCCAGCGTATGCCCCTATAGCTAGGGCAATCAAATGAGAGAACAATCCCATGGAAACTGCAAAGCATCAGAGGTTGAACATCATCATCATCATATTAGAAAGTATAACAGGATATCCGTGAAAGAATCAGAAAACAAAAAGAAATATTCAATTCTTTAATGAAAATAAGTTTTCGTCTAATCGTCTTCTTTCCATAACGCATCGATCTAGCCAGAATGAAGAAACAATGAATACAGACGAGCCTGAAGTCACAATGAACACTTCGTAACCAATTATAAAGTACCTGCTTGCTTTGCTTTGGGGGTATTGCGAAAGGCGGATAGTACATGAGTCACTTTCGGTGACATGTCATTAGAATATACTGCTCCAAGAGATAACGCCTGTAGAAAATGTTATTAAGTAAAATCCCTTATTGTACAAAGACAATTTCACATGTTCACGTGAGCTCTCACTTGCTTGGGGTTCGTTATTTGCGAAACTAAAACGCATACAAGCGGCTGTGCTCATCACATCGTTTAATTTTCTCGATGTTAAACTGTTGTTTGAAACATACTTTCTCGCGCAGTTGTGTTCGAAGTGGATTCTGGAAGCCGCTCAGTGTTAACACGACATCTTTCAAGGGATTAATCAACTGAAAAGAATAATGAAACTGCGGGAAAAGAGAGATTGTCTCACGTTTGGGGGATATACAAGGGGTGTTTTCGGGTTTGTAGAGATCGGAGTTTTCGAAGAAGAGTCAGGCTTACCCTTCTGCAGCTTTTCTTCATTTTCTAAAGAAAATATCTCTGACAAATCGAAGAAGCATTTTGAACCTTTAGCATTAGTGCATGGTATTGAAACAGCTGTTTCTTCCTCTGCGACTACTTTTACTAAAAAATAAGACTTCAGTAGAGCATATATTGTTTCTGGTTTCTAACCTCGTTTGTTCGAAAAGCTGTTTGAATCATGGCTCAACCGTTTTCTAGATGGGGTTTTGGGACTATAGTTTTCTGAACATCAAAAGTTAGAAAAAGGGTCACAAGAACGGAGAACCTTGTTCATTTACAATCGGAAGTGAGGTATCGTTTTGGGCATGCGACTCGATTGGTAGATCAAACAGATCGGTCTGAGAAGCATCTAAAGAACATCAGATGATAAGTCATAGAAGACAGTTCTGTTACCTTTGCTGTTTTCTACTTTGATTACTCGCTGTACACTTTGGTTTGCTTTTGGAGTTTTTTCTGCGAGATTTTTATTCCTCCCTTCTTTGAAGTTTTTCCATTTCTCGAAAGACTCAGTTCTTTTCTCCAAAGTTAAACCTGCAGGAGTACGCTGCTTTCCTTTGTGGTCTAATATCAATCCATCAGCGCTACGGGGTATAATAATTCGTCCTTTAGGAGCTGACTTAAAAGAAAAAAGATTCCAATTGAGTCTCCAGAACAAACAACAGGGGACATCTTCTCTTCTTTTTCTTTCTCCAAGCAGATTTCAAAATCATCGAAGACACTTCTTTTCAATTCGTTGCCAGTACTATCTAGAAATGATGAAATCACTTAAGCACTACAGCGATAAACGGATTCTTACTGGTTTTAACCGTTGGTGTTAGAGCACATCCCAAAGGTGTTAAAAGAGCATTTGAATCTATTTCTTCTTCACCTCCCGTCAATGAGATGAATGTCAATCCATATGGAATTTTAGAGTTGAAAGACTGCTTACATATAATCCAAAACACAATGATGAGACATAGGGAAGCTTGGATGTTACCTTCACGAGATCCCACTTACTATCCAGAACTGAAGAGTTGAAATCGTCTTTAGAGAAGCGATGCCATTTGTTTCCATTTTTTTCTTTCTTGCTCTCTTCCGGGGTCATCAGAAACTTTGTATCAAGTAATGTCTGTAATTGGACCGCACTTACTACATTATGCTCACTGAAGCTCACCGAGTATATTGGGTTGTCGTAACATGACTTGGCAACCTGAATCTCTATCAGAGCTGTGAATTCATTGCCTATATCGATGTAAGTAATCGTATCTTCTTTAGCTAATTTGATAATAACAACATTGCTCTCCACACCTGCAACCATAATAATGAAATGGTTCACACTCTCTGAATACCTGGCTTGCCCTTGAACGGCTTGTGCCTTCTGGAGTCTAATAAACTGGAAGCTACAAACTTCTCGAAAGCTTCAGAAGCTGATACTATACTAGCTAGTTTCAACTCCGGCATGAAGACATCAGAATACTTGAGTTTGCGAGTGAAGCACGTGCAAAGTAAAATGCCGATACGCAGTTACGTACCACCTCTCATGGAACCTTTTCGTAAATTCAAATTTGGAGCTGTGCTTTTCCAAAGTTATTTGTTTTCTTTTTAAGTGATGTAGTTTGAACAGTTCTTCATTCGAGGATTAACAACAGTTCTATTCAGTTTTATATCAGGTTGTGGCCATTCTGAGAATATAGCTGATAAGTTAGGAGTTTTACATAAACAAGATAATGGCTGAGAATACAGAGGAGGAAGCAGTTGTAGTGAAGAGGTGTAGTGCTTCAGTTTGAACATTAGATTGAACGAGAATGGTTTCAGCGATGAAAGTGATACTCAACCAACGAGTCAAACTGTGAAGATGACTGTGGAAGATTTTGAAGAAATGTTCAAAGATAGGTATACAAAGGTTTGCTCCCTCTCTTTAAGTCTTTTGAAATACCTTTAACTCAGGAATGTCCGACGTATGCGAAGATAATGGAAGGCTTTGAGCCGGCTGTAGTTGTTCATCCATGGAACACATTCCCAAAAAGGGTATTTGATCATTCCAATCAACGGGGTGGTAGAGGCGGAAGGTAAATCACACATATTTTGTTTCTTAATATCCATTATGCACAGATTTAATCGTGATCGTGGTGGCCATTTCCACAACAGAGGTCGACGTGACGACCGTGGTGGTCGTGGTAGAAATGATAGACCTTACCATCAAAACCGAGATGACCGGAGTCATTACAACAGGGATGACAGATCAAACTATCATAACAGAAGAGATCGCTATAACGACGAAAACAGAAGAGGAGGATATGATGGCGGTAGCCATAGAGGTGGATTTGATGGTGCCGGCTACAGAGGAGGCTTTGATGGTGGTCACAGAGGAGGATATGATGGTGGTGGTCACCGAGGAGGCTTTGATGGTGGCCATCGAGGAGGCTTCGAAGGTGGTCATCGAGGAGGATATGATGGTGGTAGCCACCGAGGAGGATTTGATCACGGTAGCCATAGAGGAGGATATGATGGTGGTGGTCACCGAGGAGGATTTGATGCCGGTAACCACAGAGGAGGATTTGATGGTGGTAGTCACCGTGGTGGATTTGATGCCGGTAACCACCGTGGTGGATTTGATGCCGGTAACCACAGAGGAGGCTTTGATGGTGGTGGTTATCGAGGAGGATTCGACGGCAGCAGCCACCGAGGAGGAGGATTTGAAGGCGGTAGCAACCGAGGAGGAAACCAATTTCACGGCAACAGAAATACATACTACCCTGGTCGGTCTTAACGTGTTCTCTGATCTCATTGGAGCTTTCATATAACGTTTGCAAATAAATAATGTTTTTCGTAAATAGTTTATTATCAGTGAATATGATACAGGTTACTATAGGTGTACAGGTTTCTTCAGGACTTCGCGTTTCCATTTGAATGTTTCGGGAGTGTAATGAGCTATAGTAAAAATCTCCTCTCACACAGAAACACTCAAACTGTACATCAAGAATCTTAATGAGTATAGATTAGCCCTGAAACGTTTGGAAACCGAGGGTTAACAACGGAATGGAAAGTGCAAGCTCATATCTCGTTACTCGGTCACTATAAAATTGGATTATGGTTATTGCTCACGCATATACACACATAGCCAACAGTCAGGAGTGCTGACGTTTTCAGGTTGAACAGGAAATAACACACCATGCGAACATGACAGTTATTACACTAAGGATGACACATCAAATTATCAAAACGGAAGTGCTCGTTAAAACGATGCCAACTTGAGAATTCGATAACAGTTGAGTTGTGGAGCAGGCAGAGCGAATCTTCATCTGTTTGGTCCTTCCTCGTTTTCATAGAACAAAGGTATTAAAGAAATCGAGTTTGACGTAAATTCTTCATTGTTAGCAAATATAATACAGACATTAAAGAAGAGTTAGTCTTCACACCAGGCATTCTCCTTTCTGATCAGATTCTCCTCATCGGGCGAAAAATCATTCTTAATATTGAAAGTTCTTCTGATCTCATCTGGACATTTTCCCTGGAACAGTTAAGAATCTAAAATCATTTACACTCTGCTTCACATACTCGAATCATCGTAGCAACAGCCTTACAGGAAGCATCCAAAAGCCCCTTGATATCCATATAGTTGGCGGCCTGTAGAAAGGGAAATGCAATATATTGTACTAATTATCTATGAAGTACCATAATCAGCTCGAACAAGGTAGCTTGATCGACTTTAAGGAAAGCAGTATCCCAAGCCCCAATTTCTTCGTTACCCTTCTCAACGTTCTGGTCAGCAGGAGCGATATCGTGACGGTGATGCTCAAGATATAGAACCACCTAAAAACAATAGATACATATTGATGGCGTGAAAGTACGAAAGAAACCTTCTTCAAGATGCTCGAGTTAATTTTAGGAAGGGGGATGACTTTGGATTCATCATCATCGTCCAGTTTAAGATCCTATGAGTCACGGGATAATACAAAAAAGCAATCGATATCATAACTTACATTAATTATTGTATCCAACAATGCGGATTGTTTCACACAGTCACGTGGAATACGACAGACAGTTCCATCACTGGAAGAAAGACGAACAGTTTTCTCCATTCTTGCGTTACTGAAATTCAGTATTGAGAAAAATATATTCAGAATCAAAACATGAAGCGTTCGAAAGAAAGAGGAATTATAAGAACGGGCAAGTCTGCTAATCGATTCGCTTGCTATTCAAAGTGTCGTGTTATCGAAAACGTGCTGTGTTCATTTAACTCGCTTACAAAACAGTAACATATAAATTTAAATGAAATGAATAAGTTACATGCATAAGGATTCCAAACCCTTCAGTGCGCAGCAGACCAAGGATGAAAATGGCGGCAAATGTTGGAACATGTAACAAGTTTTCGTACGTTCAAACATCGCTTACTGTATTCTCGGAGAGAAACCTTTAATCCAAGTCTAGGATAAAGATGTTCCAACCGATTGTAGGAGCCATGGATATACGGAATGAGCGGAATTCACACCGTATTGCAACGAACTGTTACCACTGGACTGACAGAGTGGAAATGAGAGGGTGGGCTGATTGATTGATTGCATTATGAAATAGTCTTTCGTTGCTCGTTTTGTTTACTACCGGTCATAATTCGAAAGAGAGGGTATGTTAATGGTATATTACGAAACGAAGCGCAAGGGCATAAGTACATTGAAATTCTCAGGAGTTACATTGAAGTTTCTCACACTACATACGAAAAGCCATGGAAACATCATGACAGCCTATGAGACCGGATTCATGCGAGTACTGAACTACTTTGAAAAATACAAAAACGGAGGTAGATGAAAAAGAACAATTCAATTAAGACAACCTAGATGTGTCGAGATATACGAATAAGTTGTTCAATTATGTATAAAACTAAAAACAACAATGCTTTCAATGAATTCTACATCCATACACTTGAAAACAGATCTTAACACCACAGTAGTATTGTCAGATGAGACCGGTCATACTGTAGTTGAACCCAACTCTCAGAATATTGTTTAAAACCTAATCTAAAATCTAATTTAGTTCACTAACAACTTATAAAGAAATAACATAATAACCCTGTTCAGAGAAAACGGTGAGACCCGCACACCTGAAAATCACTCAAAATTTGAATTTACGAAATCTGCTCCCTCATGGATTTTCTATACCAAGTACGTAACTGCGTATCCCTATTTTAATCCGCACGTGTTTACCTGTTAATCCAGAGTATTCAAATGACTCCATGCCTGAACTATATTTCGATAGTATAATATCCACATCTGATGCTTTCCTAAAGCGTGAAAAGCAAGCTCTAAGCCGGAAAGCTAGACTGGTAAGAAGGAACCTGGTGAAAAATTCAAGCTCTAATGCTAGTATGTATCACTTTCCTCAAATTTTACATCTTATTATGTTTTGCAGGCCTTAGAAATGGTTCTTCGATCAATCCTGCCCAAATCAGTTTATTCAGCTCTTCAAATTTCAATACTGTGTCTTCAGAAGGTATTAGTACGCGAGAAAGAAAGAGAAAAACCAATATTGTAAACATCACTCATCAGGTATTTTGAAGTTTCCAGTGTCTAACCAACCGATCTATCTCCAGAGTGCGCCAGCAGACACATCATCTAGTAGTGCACATCTTGCCAGTAAAACAGAGAGCTCTGAAGAAGTGGAATGGCCTTCTTTGTACGAATACTTGGAGGTTGAAGATTGTGTTTTTACCGAATTGATGCAAGGCCTGGATATCAACGTTGAGCAGCTTATCAATATTGATGAACACACTCTGCTTCAATATGAAGGAGAAACCGTAAGTCGAGAACTTGTTCAATTCTAAAGTTTTCCGTGATTACAGGTCGAGTTAGGCGGCGAAACAGCTAGATACGTAAAAGTTATGAAAGATGACGATGAGATCGTTATTCTGAAGGTGGTTCCGTCAACACATAAAATGTCATTGATGATGGAGGAAAAGCCGATGATCAAACGTAGTAATATGAATGAGACTGCTGATCATGTATCCAAACTTGAAAGCAAAATGGTTTTGCCTGTTATTTCTGGCAAGTCTTCTGTTTCAATCCGAGGAAGAAAATGTAGACGTTGGAAGTAAGTTGTTTTGATAATTGGACAGCCATGAGAGTTATTTGCAGTTGGGATAAAGATAACTATGAAGATGTGGTAGTCTCCCGAGTCTCCAAAGCAGGATGGAATGTCAAAGAGAACTCTTTTTGGGATTGGGAGGACGAATGGTCCAATGCTAAAGCCATTTGTCGCAAATGTGATTTGAAACTCGATCGTAGAAAGGAGGATAATGGTGCTTCTCAAATCTTCAGGTAACGGTTCTGTTAGACTTCAGCATTCATTCAATATTTTCAGCACTCCTAATCCTTATGTTAATTCTAATAACAATTTGTCTGATATTCCGATGTCACCAAGTGTGGAAAGTGACCAATCGGGCATGTTAAGTGACCCTGTGCTTTTCAACGAATGTGATGGAGATGAAATCAATACTGAAACCTTGTACGAATCTATGGTATGTCCGTTCGTGGGGAAAATTCAAAATTCTTTGTTTTTCAGAATATTGACAGCTCTGGTTTAGTAGATTTAGGATATATAGAAGATTTATAAAATGTTCTATAATGTTAATGTACAAATTGTAATTTTGTTTGAAGATTGAGAACAAATTTCAAATATCTAATAACTTCTAGCTCCCAGTAGCTGGAGATGATAATAAAAAATTGTAATAACAACTCTACATGTTAACAAAGAACCTATTGAATTTGCTCGTTGCCTTTCTGCACAGGCCTTGATGCTTCCACTTTTTGGTTTTCGGAAACTCTGCGCTGGTTGGTGATATTGTGGATATCTTCCATGACTTTCACATTTTCTAACAAGGACACAATCTTTCTCTGCAATGCGAACAGGTTGAACTACTTCGAAAGAAGTTGCTGGATACCCCTAATCGTAGTTGATCCAACTTATGCTTCAATTGAGCAGGAGAAGTCACAGACACAGTCTTATTACTATCTGAAAAAACTCCTTGAGAACGAAGTTAGAGTTCAACATACCAACGAAAGAAAAGTCCGGCGACTCTTCCAACGGATTCACATGTGGAGCTTGGTAGATACTATAATAGGGATCTCATACTGCGCAAGAAAGAATCACATACGGTTTTCTGAAGTTTTGGAAGCGACCTTTGATTTCCCTTTGAGTGCTCGGAGCACAATAGGTACGGATGAAACAAGTTGTTCTTTGCATTTCTGAGTCAAGAAGGTAAAGAAGAAAGATTCGGAAGATCTATGTATTTCAGATGCTTTGAACATCATACCGTTGAGATTGGATTTCATTTAAATTACTTTATAAGAGTCAAATTTAACGAGAACAATGAAGTAACAGAGGGAACTGTACAATAAACGAGATAAATAATTAAGCCCACATCTTGATGAGCGAGTCCCAACCAGCCGTAATCATTTTACTCTTTTCTTTTGGATGCCACTTGGCTGAGATACATGTGCTGTCGTGAGCCTTCCATCTAAAATAGCTCTCATGTTATAACCACACAGTATCATTTAGGCTTACTTCGCGACAATCTTGTGAGTTCTCCAATCCCAACAAAACACTTTACCATCTGAATCTCCACAAATAATATAACTGAAACAATTTGAAGTCATATAAAGCTATATCACTGTTTTTGAACCTCATATCTGGACTGAAATCAGTAGTGCAGGAATAACCAGCAGAGTTGTGACCACGGAAGTTCTTCTTCTTAGCAAATCGTAGTTTATCATCTACCAATTGGAACAAAACAATTCTACTGTCCATAGATTGTCCAACAACCCATTTGTCTAAATGCAGGAATTATATGAAAGAAGTATGAAGTTTGCAAACCATTCGGAGACTTTGTCATAGTTGGAATGGAGTGTAATCCTACGTTTTGGATCAACTTCGTATCAACAGGAATTTCCCATTCCCAAATTCTGATTGATTTGTCATCAGATGAAGAGGCGAATCGTCTGTTTTTGTCGAAGAATGTGATTGAGTTAACAGGTCCCAAGTGTCTGTCGTACTCCTGCAAATGAACGTGATATTCTAATTTCAGCGCTGAATCCACGTCAGCAAAAGTGCTGATGCAGCTCATTTATTTCATTTAACGTGTAGTGAACGGTCGATTCAACAACTATGATGACACAACCACACTCATTTTTGATATTTAAGGAAGTTCAAACCTGAACAATCTCTCCTGACCGGCAATCCCATTGGATGATTTTTTTATTCTGCATACCAGACAAGAACATATGGTTTTTATCCTCATCAGGATTGAACTTTAAGCACATTGGTATGTGGCCAGTTGTGAACCTTTGTTTGACCTTAAGATAAATTGTAAGTTATTAGGCTGAATTGAGATGGCAAACCTGTCCGGTTTCAGTATCCCACAATTTGATGTACTTATCAAAACTAGCGGACAAGAATTCAGACCCATCATTATTAAAGACTACTTCACGCACAGGTAGCTTATGACCAGTATACGTTCTTACTAACTGTTGTTTACCGTAAACTTCCCATAGTTTGATCTAAGAATAAGAAATATGAAAACTGTATTAATTGAAAAGAACCATACCTTGGTGTCCATGGAACACGATAAGAATAGATGAGCACTCTGAGGGAACCATTGTAGGCAGTTAATACCCTTCGAATGTCCCTTGTACACATGGATTTGCTTCTTGGGAATGTAACATCTTGAAACAAGATAATGTAAACAACAATGTGTGTGAGTGAATACCTTTCAGGAACATAATCAGCACGAAGGTTGACACCAGTGAATGCTGGAGGTACAATGAACGATCTACCTTGATAATCGGAAACTTCTTTCACTGTAATATAAATCATAAGATTGTATGAAAAAAAAAGCTTACAATGCAAAGTAGATGTTTCTTCAATAACTTCTTGCTCCTTCATTTGAGCTCTCCATTTTCTACTGTTCATTTGTCGCCTCCTCACTATCTCATCCATTTCAGCTTGAAGTTGTGGATCAGGCTTAGCAATTGTTTTTTCATCTTCATATTTAGCCCAAGGACCTTAACGATTAATACATTGATAACTCACACATAATGGAATGAAACTCACCAGTATACCCTTCGACATCCGTTGCGTCGAAGTTGTAAGTCCGTTTCCTTTTCTGACCACCGGTTTTAACAGAATCAAACAATGAAGCTCCTAGCTTCTCCGCGGCTTCTTCTTTATTACCAATGAACTTACTTTCTGGAGAATCAAAATAGAGTGATAAGAATAACTTGAACTTACCGGCTTCTGCTGTTGGATTACTGGCGTACCCAAGAGTATCGAAACTTCTGATTTCACGTTCGAAGTGGAAGTCGTTAATATGTGCTGGCTCAACAAAGCCCGTTAATGTGTTTTTGTGAGCTTTCTGACTTTCTGATTTGAAAGGATTGCTTGGTCCAGCCTATATGAATTTCTGAAGTTATTTGCTAACACAAACTGATTGACCTCTGGCTGGAAGAGCTGCTGGTATGTGGGATTAAACTTAATTTCCTTTGTTTTGGGATCAACAATAGCTATTTCGTTTAAAATACTTTTGGTAGTTACTTCTGGAGCAACCTGATAAACCAGGTTAGCACATCAAATGATAATCGAAAGGCTCACCATTAATGATAAATCCCCCTTAGCCATGGATAGACTTTTGCAATTATCTAAGGTTACTGCTTGCATCTCTTCTTCGGCATGATCTTCTTCATCACTGTGCACATAGTCTTGTATCAAATCCATTGTTTCTATTTATGTTGACTTTATTACTTTTTCATACATTAACAAAATAACATAAGCTCAAACGACAATGATACTTCTATACGAAATTTGAATTTCATGATCCATATGGGACGCTGAGTATCTAACGAATACGCAATCTGATTTTTAACTGCGTACGCAGTATGCCGTTCCACGTCGGTTAAATATATATTTAAATTTTATAACTTAATAAGGTTCATCAACATTGTCAAAATCCATCAGTCAACTCATCCTAACTTTTAAGGTGTCTTCAAACTAGATGGGAAACAGCGAGAGTGCACCGATTCCCGGAGGAGGGACTGAAGGGTATCATGTTTTGAGAGTAGGTCGATTTGTTACTACATTTTGATATAACTCCTATCTAGGTTCAAGAAAACTCTCCTGGACAAGTAGCCGGGCTTGAACCATTTTTCGACTTTATAGTTTCTATTGGAAATGCTAGACTAGTGAGCTTATTATCGTTTATTGTCGCTAATTATATTTTTTTGAGGACAAAGACAATGACACAATGAAAGAGATTCTAAAACAACATGTGGAAAGACCTATCGAACTTACTGTGTACAACAGGTAAAGCTTGTTGGTCATGCAATTTATAAACTATGTGCTCTTAGTAAGACACAGACAGTACGTCAAACTACAGTAACTCCTTCCCAAATGTGGGGAGGACAAGGATTATTGGGAGTTTCAATTCGTTTCTGCTCCTTTGACGGCGCTAGTCAACATGTTTGGCATGTTTTGTCTGTTCAGGTACGGCTTAAAATAACTTTCTTCAACCATTGATCAACAATCTAGTCGAACTCACCAGCTTCCATTGCTGGGCTTCAGTCGGATACTGATTATATTCTTGGAGCTGAAAGTGTTTTGAACCAAGCGGATGATCTTATAGCTCATGTTCAAGCTAATGAGGGTAAACCCTTGAAGTTATATGTTTACAATGTAGATTCGGACATCGTTAGAGAGGTATTTTGTCTTTTTTTTTCTTTTCTATTCTATGCTCGTATATGTAGGTCACACTCACTCCTAACTCTGCCTGGGGAGGAGAGGGTTGTCTTGGATGCGACATAGGATATGGTTACTTGCACCGGATTCCTATCTCTGTAGACAGATCTAAGCCTCCTAGTGCTGTAGCTTCAACTCTTCCAGCATCTAATAAGATTCCACCCCCTAGTTACACTGGAATACCACAAATGGATTTAGTATGTCTATCCTAAAATGTATTTGCCTAAATGTGTTTTGAAGGTATCCCAGGCTCCAACTATCAACTCTTTCCCTGATCCAAGCAAGTTCACATCTCAAGCTGATACTTCCAACTTTTATAGTCCACCGACTGTAAGTCTTTGAATGCATCGTTTCTTTTTCATTTTTCTGTTTGTTATTAGAATACTCACCTTCCTCCACCTCCTGTGGCCCCCAGTGTCTTGAGTGCTAATGTTGCTCCTGTTCAACATGTTCCTTCTCCGGATCATTATTCAAGTGACCATGGTCACGGGCATAGTCATGATGGTGGACATGGACATAGTCATGATGGCGGATATTCTCATAATCAAGAAGAAAGCCATGGTCATAGCCATGAAGGTGCACATGGACACAGTCATGAATCTGGCCAGGAACATTCGCATAATCATGGACACGAGTACTCACCTGAACCTGCTCATTATCCACAAACGCAAACTAATACTCAACAGTACCCTCATCCACAAGGTCCTTCATCATTTGCCCCACCTGCAATTGGTTTCAAGTGAGTTTTTTTTTATCTCCGAAACAGTATTTGTTGTTTATTCCAGTCAATCATATGATCATCAACAACAAGTTCATGGACAAGATGCTCACCCACCCCATTCATCTGCGGCCTCTCACCCTCAGCACGTCTCTGATGTGATCGAATTAGCTAGTCAACTCCAAAATAGTTCGCTTCATCAACATCAACCAGCATATGCACCACCACCTCAGCCAACATCTTATTTGCCACCAAGGTAAACATTTTCATATGTGTTCATAAATCATAGTTTTATAATTAGTTCATATCAAAATTATGGTGCTCCATCCATGGCTCCTCCCACTACTCCACCTACTGCTCCTATTTCGAGTTACTATCAACCACCTCAACCTCCAATCATGGGAGTACCATCACATGTTCCACCAATGTTCGCTACCGCAGGAGCACCTCCAGCAGCCCCACAGGTACTGTGTCTTTTATTTCCAAAAGTATAATTATCAAATTTCAGCCATTCGCTCCTCCACCACTCAACTTCCCGATGCCACCCTTAAGCTCTTTAGGAATTACTCAACCATTAGCTGCACCACCGGCATCGCAACCAACAGGTTTGTATCAATTTTCAAAATGGTCTCTAGTTAGATTTCCAGGGCAATACCCTGTTCCACCACAGCCACCGACTTCTTACTATATGCCTTCTTCCTAAGATGAACTTTTCTAGTGTTTTTGGGTTTCTTGTATTCTTAACGCGATAGATTTATATGTAAATTCTAATTGTTCATAATATACATAATTTATTAAATTATTTATTTTTCTGGTTCTCATGGGTCATGAGTGAAGGTTAATTACATATCAAAGTTGTTCTTTACAAGGGATAGCGTCCCTCTGGATTCTTTAACTTCGAAACGTAACATTGCTCTACTTGGAATGTTTTCTTTAAGATCATCCTGTTATCATGACGTCCATCGAAATAGAAGCTGCTGAGTCAGTTCTCGTTCTGGTTTTTTATGTTCCAATATATTCTTTTTCAGCGTTGTTCGACTTATCGAACAATATCTGAAGGAGAATAACCTATCAAGAACATTGGCTGTTCTGCAGGTTCATCTTTCCTTGTTCTATCTTCCTGACATTGAGCTTTCAGGAAGAAACTAATATCACATTAAACACTGTGGAAAGCATTGATGCCTTCTGTCATGAAATCACCAGCGGTCATTGGGATACTGTTCTCAAAATCATCCAACCGTTGAAGCTTCCTGCAAAGAAATTGATCGATCTCTATGAGCAGGTTTGGAATTGTTTGTTGCTTCCTATAAGTTATCTGCTTTCAGATTGTAATTGAGTTAGTAGAACTACGTGAACTGGCTACTGCTCGATTGATAGCTCGACAAACAGATCCCATGCAGTTATTGAAACAGATCGATGTCGAGAGATACACGAAAGTTGAGAATCTCATCAGCAGACCATACTTTGATCCTGCAGAAGTCTATGGAGATGTCAGTAAAGATAAACGACGAGCTACTATCGCTACAGTGAGTTACTTTCCTTTTTTGAAATAGTGTGTTTGACCAAATCATCGAAGATAAGAATAGAAATTGTTTTTCTTTCTCGTTTTCCTTCATTTGACGAATAGTTCAATAGTTTTTTTCATTTTATTATCACTTTCAGTCCCTCTCCAGCGAAGTCAATGTAGTTGCTCCTTCTCGTTTACTGGCTTTGCTATCACAAGCCCTCAAATGGCAACTCCACCAAGGTCTTCTTCCACCAGGTATTTTGACATTTCGCTCACTTTCTTATTTTTGTTATGATAGGAACTCAAATCGATCTCTTCCGTGGTAAAGCTGCTATGAAAGAACAGGAAGATGAACGATATCCAACTCAGTTAGCTCGCCATATCAAATTCGGTGCAAGTATGATGAAAGGAAAAAAGTATTGGCAAACTTGTTTCATTTTGAAGATAGTTATCCTTTGTCGTCTGTTTTCTCACCTGATGGACAGTTCCTTGTTACCGGGTCCAAAGATGGTTTCATAGAGGTCTGGAACTACATGAATGGAAAACTGAGAAAGGATTTGAAATATCAAGTAAGCACTAATCAATTTTTAATAGTAAAGCACAATTTTCAAGGCTCAAGACACTCTGATGATGATGGATTCCGCTGTTTTATGTTTGTTCTTCAGTCGTGATTCTGAGATGCTTGCTTCTGGGGATAATGATGGCCGAATTAAAGTTTGTTGAAATGTATTATCATGACTCAGCTCTCTATGTAGGTATGGAAAATTCAAACTGGTGACTGTTTAAGACGATTTGATCATGCTCATACTAAAAGTGTAACCGCTGTACGATTCTCTAAAGACAACTCTCATGTGTTATCTTGTGGAAATGATCATGTTATCAAGTGAGTAATTAATCAAACTATTGTTTATATATTATCTTAAAGAGTTCATGGATTGAAATCTGGTAAATGCCTGAAGGAGTTCCGTGGACATACTTCGTTTGTCACTGATGTTCGCTATTCTGAAGAAGGAAATCAAGTGGTAAGTGCAGTACCGTCCATTGGTCAATCAATGACTGATTAAGGTATCCTGTTCGGCTGATGGTACTATTCGGGTGTGGAACACGAAAACCACCGATTGTGTTACAACTTTTAGAATAGCAGGAGATACTCCTATCCTTTCTATCCATCCTGTCCCAAAAACTGATCAATTTGTTGTTTGTAACCGCTCGAACACACTCTACGTTGTAAATATTCAAGGACAGGTAATCTAGTGTTATCAATGATTCGGCTCAAAAAGAATTATGTAGGTTGTACGCTTGATGACATCAGGAAAACGTGAAAAAGGAGAGTTTGCTGCTTGTGTACTCTCCCCCAGAGCTGAATGGGTGTACGCAGCTGGAGAAGACGGAGTTCTTTACTGTTTCCCAATGTTATCCGGAAGTTTAGAGAGTACTCTTCCGGTTCGTTTCCGTTTCCGTTTACTGTTTGAAATAGAGAATTTTTTAGGTTGCTGAGCGTTCTGTACTAGGCATAACTCACCATCCTCATCAAAATCTCATAGCCACATACACTGACGATTCATTTTTGCGTCTATGGAAGGATTAATACGAGAACTTGTCATTCAATTCAATTTGACTATTTGTTTTCCGCGTATTTATAATTAAATTTCTCTCTTCGATACTCAGACACGGATGATTCTAAACTGTACTCTTGCTCCGAATTATAGCTTGTAGTATTCGTGTTGTTATGGTACTTGTCACCCGTATCTCTGCACCTACCACTTCGTACTGTCTCCGGACGATTGTTTATTTTGAATAATATTTAGGCTATAAAGTCATAAACTAATGTGCTTCTATTGTGAGGAGTTAGTTTCTCCGCCAGTTTCTTGTGAATCCGTTGTTGCATGCTAATCTTTACTTTCTTAGTTACTTCTATGACTCATTAGCAGTGAGAGATAACGGATCTTCAGCTGTTTGCGACACTTGCCAAACGACGCCCAAATAAGAGTTGAACGTTCGTTGTCGTTAGAGTCCACAGGTATTTCTTATAGTAAAGTTTGAGAACTGATCAGAAGTTTGTTTTCTTCGTTGGTAATCCCAAAGTTGATTTGACATATAGCCTAATCTGCTGTCTGCATGTTTTCATAAGTGTCGTTTTCGTGTTGGACGATTTATTGAACAAATATTACGTGGTGTGATTGTTGCTAGCCATTTTTGGTATAGTCTTTGGCTGAAGCCTTTCCATTTCGATGCTCAACTAATACATATCACTTCGGAACTCTATATTTACTGGGGACAAGAGTTTTTGACTATTCTGTAAACCTCTTGGCTCTAGCAAAGATTCAATTAACACCTGTTCTAGAGCTCGAAACAGAATAGGAGGTTTCTGCTTTTCAATTCAAATTTTCATTCGGCTCATTTATTACTCTGTTTTGCGAGATTAATATGTATAATATCTATCTCACTCTCACTCTCCCTCTCACCTCCTGTCCTATCTCGATCAGCGTTCACTCTCTATCCTTTGAGGCTTGAACACATTAGTGAGGGCGATTTTCTTTTATCTTATAATGGCCAGCATTCCAGTAATATATGCTGCTTGCTAAATTCAGATCCATTTATGACTCGTAATGTTATCCTGTCTCTCTAACTAGTCATTGTGTTTGTTGAGTTTCTAGCTGGCTCCAAGCTCTGTTTAACTTATAACATCTTCCTGTCATCAGTTTTATAGTGTCATGACGCAAAACACAGCACCTTTTACAGCTTGTTTTCATTCTTCTCTGACAACATGACACAAATTCTATGCTCATGCTATTCAATGTCTTCCTTTTTTGAAATTTTCAAGATTTCTCATGTTTCATTTCCTGCTATGCAGAATTCATTTTGTTTTTGAATCGTTAACTAGTTGTTTACGTCTGTTTTCATTATACGTGAAAAGCACTACTTAATTAGCATATGACGTTACTTGCGGCGTGGCTTATTTTTATTTTTGCTTCAGCAGGATCTGGTTGTTTCTTTGTTATCCTCACACACTTCTTCTTTTAATTTATTGTAGCTCTTCCCCTCTCTCTCCCTTTTTCTCTCTTTCTCTCTCTCTCTTCCTCTCTCTCTGTCATAATGTATGCCAAGTATGTTGCTTGAAAGTATTTGAGCCAAATACAAACTGACTAAACTCTCTGTTTGGCTCAAAGCATAAATTCAGCCGCAGCTATGTATAGAAATCTTTTATCATAATGCTATTTCATTTTATTACATTGTTCGCCAATTTTCCGGCCTTTCACGTAATTGTTTGCAGACTACCTCCATATGAGATACCTTTTTGCTTTAAAAGCTTTTTATACTCATGAAGTTTTGCTTATCCTTTGAGTAACTTAATGGCTTCACATGGTTTTCTTTTATGGCTCTTTCTCATCTGTTCCACCTCAATCCATTAGTACGGGAATAAGCCCATTTACGTTTTCCTACCTTGTGTGTCAAATTTATCTTCTTTTAAATTGGTTGCTTTCATGAAATATTACTGCTCTGGTTACATCAAATAAAACACCCGTCCCCCTTCTAAATTGTGGATTTAAGAAAGAGAATATGATCACGTTTGTTTAGATTCGGATTCATAGCCATTACATGCCTTAAGGGCTATGTAGTTTATTCTTTAATTCTTCTTTCCCATCAAGCTTCCATTTTTGGCATTAATATATTCATGAAAGTCGTTTGTCTTTTGCTTTAATAACTGTAATTAATGAGCTCCTCCTCCTCTGTTCATCTTAAAGTCAAAGTGCGCTTTTCTCAATTTTCATACCCGATTAGTATTGTGTGTGAGGTTTCACATTATGAATGCTCTGGCTGACAAATATAAAAGTCCGATTGAAATCAAAGTAATTGAAAGATTGTCTGGGCATTTGACATGCAGGAACAAACTCACTCTCGGTTGCAGTTACAGCGTCCATTCTTCATCGTAACTAAGTAGAAGCTATCTGTCCCCTTTGCATTTTACATTAACTTAAGTCGACGATTGTCCTCCCACTTTTTCATTCGCACAATTTCTATCCTGTCTCCACCTCTCGGCTCCCTAAGTTCAATTTGGCTAACATTTAGCTGCTCTTCATTTGTGCTCCGTTTGATCGTCAAACGTTTTAGCCTCATGTAGGACGTCAAACTTAATCTACATGAATGATTCGATGAGACGAAATAAGTTTTAATTGTTTCGAATCTTATTCACAATTCTATCACTTTATTCTTGTCGTCACCAAATTGTTTTTCATCTTAGTTTCTCTTTTTGCTTAACACTCACTCCGCCAGACGATTGCCTACCGCAGAAGCTGTCGTCTTCAATTTCTCATTTATTTATCCAATAATGCTTCCTGATGTACATGTTCATCACTTCGTTCACTCTCTCACTTCTGTTTCTCTTTTGGGTTTCATCGCTCTCGAATATGGCGTTGGATGTTGCAAAAAGCTTACATAGTGCTCCGGAAACATGTTATTACGAACCCCATCTGTTTAAGTTTGATAATCAATCTTCTTTTTTTAGAGTTTCGTATTCCTTTCCGCATTTTATTGCTTGTTCTCTCCGCCTACTTTATCCCTTGCAAGGCAATGTTTTAGTAAATGAGAAGCTCAATATCTTCCGTATTTTCCACACAGCTTATAACCTTCTTCTATAGAGATGGTTAGATATGCAAGGCATTACTACCGACTTATTAGTAATACGCAAGACGAATAATAACTTTTAATGAATTCCTTGTCTGATATACATAGCCTCCAAGTTGTTTTCCCTTCTCATTTGATCTCTCTTTCTCGTACGCCCATGTTTTGTATTTTTTTGTCTTTTTTCTTTCTGTTCACTCTAGTTTTGCTTTCTTAGTAAAAGTTTGGATGGTGTATCTCGTCATGAAGTCCTCTAGACATTGAAGAAATGGATGTCAAACCTTCAAAAGAGAATGTAAGTCGTCATTAGACATCTGAGCGCTTGTAAATATAACACTTTATCTTATCGAACTTAACCGACACTTAGAGAATTCCTTAAAATTGCCAGACAGCAGGGTTATATATGTCTAGAGAAAAAAAAAACTTTTTAAAACCCCTCAAATTACTAAAATTGATGCTTAGGACAAGGATTCGGCTCAACCGCTCACTGCGGTTTTTCGTGTTGAGGGGACTGCGGCAACTTCAAAACCTAAGAAGGTTCGTTCAATTTCAGTTGCTAAGACACACTTTTTTTGTTTTTTCCCAAACGAACAGCATATTCACTTCATTTTCTCTTCAGCCTGTAACAACTGGTGGAACTCAAGAAGATATCATGATCGAAACACTGTCTGCTGAAAATGCTTCAACATATCAAGCCTCAGTATGCCATATGACATATCGTCTCATATAGACTTCCTCGTTTAGGATTGTGTAGCAGCCCTCAGAAGTGATGCTGAAGCTGGGTTATCGACAGCTGAAGCTACACGTCGACGCCAATTTCATGGGTACAATGAGTTCGATGTTGCAGAGCAAGAATCAGTTTGCAGTAAATATTTAGAACAAGTAGGTAGACTATGAAACCTATGACGAACACTTGATGCTTTAGTTTAAAAATCCTTTGATTTTGTTGTTATTGGGAAGTGCTGTTGTTTCGCTTTTGATGAGACAGTTCGATGATGCTATCAGCATCACGATTGCCGTCGTCATTGTGGTTACTGTTGGCTTTGTGCAGGAGTATAGATCTGAAAAAACCCTCGAGCAGCTTAACAAGCTTGTACCTCCAGCTTGTAATGTGTATGTTTCATGCTGAGAAAAAGCTGAAGATGAGGGTTGTGATTTTAGTGTACGTGATGGACGAGAACATAATATGCTTGCTCGTGAGCTTGTTCCTGGTGATATCATTGTGCTGAACACTGGAGATAGAGTTCCAGCTGATTTACGGTTGATAGAAGCTCATTCCATGGCTATTGACGAAAGTTCTTTCACAGGAGAAACGGAGCCTAAACATAAGGTTTCGATTGATTCTCGAGCTTTATTCGAATAACTTTATTTCCATTAGGAAGCTGCCCCAGTTAGTATGAGACAAGACGTCAATGTAGAAAATATGATTAACATTGCTTTTATGGGTACTTTGGTTCGTAATGGACGAGGAAAGGTTTGCGGTGGTTTTGTAATGGAGATATAACTAGCATTATTAGGGAATCGTTACTTCTACCGCAGCAAGTTCTCAATTCGGAGCAATCTTCAAACTTGTGCAAGAGGAAGAGTCACCAAAAACTCCGTTACAGAAGAGTATGGACATGCTGGGAAAACAGTTGTCCATGTATTCTTTCGGTGTAATTGGTGGAATCTTCGTTATTGGGCTAATTCAAGGAAGAAATGTTCTGGATATGTTCAACATCGGTGTGAGGTATAACACATCCTAGCTGCTATGATCTCATCTATGAGTTCTGTTCAGTCTTGCTGTTGCGGCCATTCCGGAGGGATTGCCCATTGTTGTTGCTGTGACACTCGCCATTGGAGTCATGAGAATGGCTACACGTAGAGCTGTCATCAAGAAAGTGAGTCTTGAGCTACTTCCGGAATAGTTCATGTTTTCTTTCAAGATGCCAGCCGTAGAAACTCTAGGTTGTGTCACTGTTATATGTAGTGATAAAACTGGAACACTAACGAAGAATGAAATGACAGCTACTTGTGTTGTCACCCCCGAAGGAAGAAAAGCTGAAGTGAGTAGTAAATTCATAATATCTTCATCAGTCAATGATGTATAGGTTACTGGACTTGGTTATTCTACGGAAGGATCGTGTACTTACAACGGAAACATTGTGATGGGATATAACTTCCAAGAGATTGCCAGCATTATTGAAGTTTGTGACATTTCCTCAGAATCTAAATTTAAATCTGCTTTAGGTTGGTTCTGTTTGTAACAATTCACGTTTGATAGGAGAAACTGTGATTGGTCAGCCGACAGAGGGTGCTTTAGTTGTTCTCGCCAAGAAGGTAGCGAAGAAAAGATTTAAGTTAAACAATTGAAGATTAGACTGGTCTGGATGGTTGCAGCGATAATTATGAGAGAGTTCGTGAAATTCCTTTCAGCCACGAATCCAAATGGATGGCTGTTCAATGCGTTAATAACGTAAATCTATTTTTGTACTTTGAAAGTGCAAATCTTTTTGTTTCAGGGACATACAATATTCTTCGTGAAAGGAGCTCTTGACTGCGTCATGGATCTTTGTGATTCGTATAGATCGAGTGATGGCAGTAGGAAAGCCCTCGATGGATATGTCAGACAACGCATTCTCGATGGGGCCCGTGGTTTGGCTTCCACTGGATTACGAGGTGAAAGAATTTCACAAATTGGTTTCAAAGTTTTTTTTAGTTCTCGGAATGGCTAGGGGAGGTAACATGCAATCACTCCAACTCGAAGGAATGGTTGGCATGATGGATCCACCAAGACCTGGGGCAACCGAAGCTATTGCAACAGTGAAATCTAGTGGGGTTGATGTGAAATTAATAACCGGGGATGCACAAGAAACTGCCATGAGTATAGGTTTGTTGTTGAACTTGTGTTCCGATCCATGTCAAATTTCTTCATAGGAGCTATGCTAGGAGTATACAGACCTACAGATAGTTGTTTATCCGGAACTCAGATCGATTCCATGTCTGATCCAGATTTAGAATTAGTTATTCGTCAAGTTTCCATAATTTATCGAGCTACGCCTAGGCACAAACTCAAAATAGTCAAAGTGAGAAATGATTGTGAGGACGTGTCCAATTCATGCTTCCAGGCTTTGCAAAGCGTTGGCGAAATCGTGGCTATGACTGGTGACGGAGTAAACGATGCAGCAGCTTTGAAAACTGCCGATATCGGTGTGGCTATGGGACTTGGAGGAACGGATGTTTGCAAAGGTTAGAGACGCTGTTCAAACTCTCCAATCCCTCTTTGTATAGAAGCTGCTGATATGATACTCTGTGATGATGATTTTACAACCATGACATCAGCTATTGAAGAAGGAAAAGCAATTTATCACAATATCACGAACTTTGTTCGTTTCCAACTGAGCACGTCAGTTCACACTTACAGTAGTTGGCATATTCCTTATGTTTTTAGAAGCGTTGCTGCTTTATCATTAATAGCCGCGTCAACACTTTTCCACTTTGAAAATCCTCTAAATGCAATGCAAATACTGTGGATTAATATTTTAATGGATGGGCCGCCTGCTCAAAGGTTTCTAGCTTTAATCTGGAATATCTAACTGAAACGTTTAAGTCTTGGAGTTGAACCAGTGGACGATGACATCATTCGTTTACCACCTCGTAACGTTAAGCAATCAATGTTGACTAGGAAACTAATAACACATATTCTTTGTTCCGCCACCATAATTGTCTCAACGACGTTATTCATTTACTACAAAGAGGTTTCCAAATTAAATTTCATTCTCGATCTAACTTCGAGGATTCACAGATGTCGGCAGATAATAAAATCACGCCACGTGATACAACAATGACTTTTACCTGCTTCGTTATGTTTGGAATGTGGAATGCATTGAGTTGTAGGAGTTCACGAAAGCTTATATGGGAATTAGGTTTATTCCGGTGAGTTCATAAACTCAAGTTAAAAACATCAAAGATGATCTAAACGCGGAACACAACCGGGTGTTAGTGCTTTTCATTTCAAAATAAAACAGGAACACGATTAGCATACTCGAGCTTCCGTGAAAACAAAACGTGCAACAAGCAATATATCGTTCGCAAATGAAAACAACAGTATAGCCTTAATTTGTATTTCTATTTTAGGAATAAAATGTTCTGTTTGGCAATCGGAGGATCACTGATCGGCCAACTGTTGGTTATATATTGGGCTCCTCTCCAAAATGTGTTCCAAACAGAGGCCTTGTCACTTTTCGGTGAGTATGAAAGTGCAATTCATCAAGAATGTATACATCTTTCAGATCTCTTGTTCCTTGCTTCGTTGACCTCAACTGTATTTATCTTTAACGAAACAAGGAAGTACATTGAACTACGTTCGAATATGAGCGACAAAAAAGGGATTGACATTCTATAAGAAGAAAGCTATGCACACTCTCACTTTATGTGCTTTAAGCTAATATTATTTTATATTAATATACATATTGAGAGTTTTGTTAGTTTTAAAATACTGCATTAAGACCTCTGATGCATATTCATTTTCATTCTTTCATATCAGAATCTGTTGATCAGTGTATTCAATTTAATTTATTGTAGATTAGTATGCCTTTATTAGATACAAAGTACCTGTGATCTTTTCAGCTTATTCTCATTTATAGTTTTTTTTTCTTTTTCTACTCAATCCATCCATATATAGTTTTAGATCTAATTGGTGCATCTGTCATCCCAATAATGAAACAGAGTTATTCAAGATTTATTTACGCATTATGGAATCCATGTCATTTTCAATGTTCCCAATGAATAAATTCTATGCACATACAACTACTTCATTATTCAAAAACATTGCATGGAAGGTATGAACATCGACAGTCAACGTCGTCGTTACAACCTCATCCAATCATAACCTAAAGAGATACCCGTGTTTTTTGGAGCAGTCACTGAATACTACGGAAAGAAAACAAAATATAAATGGCCATGCATGTCTTTCCTTAAAACTTAATACGTTATGTCAGAGAGCCATGGAAGCAAATGGTCTTGAATTGTCAAAAGTCTAACATCTCTACTGTGTTTACGCTATATGCAACCTAACAATATCCACATGAGTAAGCACAATTCTCCCGCATGAATATAGGGACCGTATTGCAAAGCTGCTCACGTTCGGCAACCCAACGCTTGCAAGCATGTCGGAGATCATAGCATGAGCCTTCGCTACCATTACCAAAACGATATTTCTTAGTCGTAGGCGCAACTATAATTTATGTTTGATTACATTGCCGTTCAAAGCCAACCTGTTGTAGTATTTTTATTTTCGACGATTGCGCGAGCAACAACTTTCACTCCTTCCCATGTTTCGCGTGCTGTAGGAATAAGCTCCTTCTCGTCCAGAATGAAACCATCCCAGTCTGTAACAACTCACGTAAATTGACATAAACAGTGGCGGGCTCACTTTTCTCGTCAGGACGAAGCTCTAGCAAGTATACATACTTCACCTTAGCAACATATTTCGTCCAATCTTCAGAACCGCCAGATGCCGGATCTAGAAACGGTTTTTAATATGAGCTTTAAGATTGAATTATGCTTACACAAAGTATCGGCTCCACTTCCAACGATATATTTCGTGCCGTAGACGTTTTGCAGAGCTTTGGCAGCCTTTTTTCCAACATCGTACTGAACATTACTATTTATGAATATGACGAAAACTGAAGCTTACTAATTCTTGAATATCTCCAGGATAACTATCCTTTTTATGTCCATATGGATGTATCCAAATTTGAGAATAAGTATGCAATGTAATGAATCCTTCAATACGACCAGCATAACGACGAGATAAAATAGCATCACGGATGGCTCTGAGAAGAAGTTAGTTCAGTAAACAAGGGTTGATTACTTCGTTTCTGGTTCACTGAAAGCTCCGGTTCCTTGATATATCTCAGAGCATGGATCGTCACTTGATCCACTCTCTGAAACAAGAATTGCTTAACAACAATCAATAATTAGATAACAAGACCTTTAAAGTGGAAGTTGAAGTTACGATTCAAGTCAACTCCACGGCAGCAACGATTGCGTCCCCAAGAATCTTTGCGACATTGCATCTTAGATCTGTTCTTTCTCCACAACCGAATCTACAATGAGAATGAGTTAGCTTATATGGTACAAGTTAAACCCACGTGAGGGTTGCTGGATGATCTCGTGAACTCATATCCGTCCGGGTTAACACATGGCACAATAACAAAAGTAATTTTTTGGAGCATATTTCTTATTTCAGGATCACTGTTATAGCGAGATGTCAGCTTTGAAAAATGTCGTAAAATGGGCAGCTTAAGAGCCGATAAAAACCTGATGAATGAAGTAAAGAGCTGTATGTGGAGCTGCCCACTCTCTGGCATGAATACCACCATCAATCCAGAAAAGCTTCTTATTAGGGTCTCGGGTACCGATCTGAATAGCATGCAATAAAATTTTGTGATGATTTTTCAATTTATGTATCAACCGCTTTCGATGTCTTGGTAATGAAAATGATTTTCACGTGACCACGTGAAATATTCAAATTCAAATGAAAGGCTTGTCTTTGTTAATATTCAAATTTAGGCATCATTGTCGAAAGAGACGCTAACAGGTGCGGTGGACTTCCTATTCCGCTGTGATGAAGAAGACGAGCAAGAGACAGTAAACATGTTCCAAGGAAGCTTTTGACCTTCAAACTTCTCACCTCAACACCATCAATTGACCGTCCCTCATGAGTAGTTCCGATTGATATGAATTGAACAATATCAGGATATTTCTTAGCTAATTCTCTCATCCACGCTGTCATCTGGAAAGAAAACAGGATTTTCGCTACTTAACAGGTCAGTAATTCTACATTTTGTTTTCACAAAATTTCATTGCTTTGACTGAGATCATTTCTCAGCGAATGCTCGTCTGCGAAAGAGGAAGAGAGAGAGAGAGAGAGAGTGAGAGAGTGAGAGGAAGTGAGAGTTGCAAAGATGAGGAAGTAACTATACCTGAGGATAAGAACCGTAATGTGTGAGATCATATGAATTTCCTCCAGACTCATCTTTCAGTCGTCGTTCATGTGGCTTTTGCTCTTTCGAACGAATCAAACTAGAGATACAAAGACATAATAGGAATTTGATATGTGCTGTATAACCAACCCCTCTACATCCTCAATCGTCTTGATGAAAGATATTTTGTCGCTATCTAGATATTGTAAGATGTTTTTCATGCCTGATTCAGACACCATGACGTCCCAGAATCCATTCTCGTCCTTTGATGATTTCCAGAAGTTTAGCTGTAATTTCAACAAGTGTTCAATATAATTAGCAATAGAATTTACATTAAGACTGGAAGCGTTGTTGTACAGTTGTTGAATGCGTAGGAACTGATCCTTGTTTTTGGGCATCAATCGCAGAACGCTAAACTTATCATCTGTCGAAGATATAGCTGATGCAGGGTCATCGAATGAGAGCCGTTGCCAGCTCATATGAATAGCGCATAGCAATATGAGTATGTAATATATCATTGTTGAACCGAAGTTCACGCTTCTTGAACTATTTTATTCAGAAAGTGTAGATGATGCTTTTTGAACGGATGAATTATAGATCTTTCCACGTTCGGTAAGAGAAATGATTAAGTGCTAGGGGGGTTATGATGGGAGGATGTGGCTGATGGTGGTGTTGGTGTTGGTAGCTGATCGACGTACGACTACAAGCAAATGCAAAAGGACGGAGAGGAGGAGCTTCACACAGTTTCTCTTCTCCTGCTTTTCTTTCTCTAATTTTCTAATCTCCTCCCAATCTATACTATCTCAGTGAGAGATTTTTGAAGAAAATGGAGAGAAAGAGGAAAAGACACCGAGTTACATCTGTCATTAACTGATCAGATGACATTTGCCTATGGGCAATGAAAACATAAGATCTATTGTATATGATGTTGATAAGTAAGTATGAAGCGCAGTTAGAGAAATACTCGATAGAAGGTGGTTTCTCACTTGATTGAATGAAGGTTTAATCGCATTAGATGCTTATCAAGCTATGCCATGCCTTAACAGTCCACAACTGCATTTCCATCTCAATGAACAGAACAGAGAAGCTGAGTTGAGTAGCTAACACTTCCTACTTAGTTACCAGGTTCTTTCATACAGATACTTAAGAAAGATGATGACAACGGGCCACACCGGGGCCATATGGAAGTCCAGTTTTGGCTTTTGAGCGGGTTTTCGTCTACAGTCAATCTGTCAGCATCCGTCCCGCACCCTCCTCATCTGATCGTATTCTGTCTCTATCCCTATCCCTCTAATCTTCTCCTCCTTTTTCTTTTTCTCCACGCCAAAAAAAGAGAAAGTACGTTTTAGTTCAGTTCATGAGTAGAAGAAGGAAGCCTAATTTCAGCGGCTATCGTTTATCACAGAGATTTCACCTGTGATTGCCGCTTGTATGCTTCTATCTCTCTCCATTCTCATTTCAATAGTGAACTGTTGATTTAGATGGCAGGAATCTTGATTCGCGCGCTCGAATTCCTTTATTGGAAAGTCATATTAGCATTGAATATCTTATTAGATGGCTTGATTCTCGTTTTCATTAGCTTAGAAACATTTATACCAAGCACATTTCCAACCTGTTCCTTTCTCGAATCATATGTTAAACCCTCACAGAGGGTTGTCGGATACTTCCGTTATGTTTTAATACAGAACTGTCAGCATAGCATATCACCTTGTGTTGAAATCAAGATTATGTGCTGCAGCTACTTACTTGATGACATTAAGATCCAAGCCATCCTAATTAAGCTTCAAGTCTAGACATTCTCCTTAAGCTGCCCATTTGTAAGAAAAACTTCATATTACCGCGATTTGATAAAGATGGCGATTGGCGATAGTCAGAAGCTGTAGGATGTTAGCTTCATCGAGGAGGGGGGGAAGCAGAAGATTAGATTTCACTTGTTGTCGTCGATGTTTTTTCCAATTTTTTTTAAACTGTTGATCAGTTTGGACTTTTGCTAATCAAGAGAGTCAGTACTAATTGATGGAATATCCAATGATAGAAGGGAGTTCAGGGTCGCTGATTTATGCGATTTGTGAAGCTTCAACTTGATATTCAGGTTGTTGACAAGTTAATTGGAAGTTAGAAAATCGGAAAGTCTCAAAGAGTTGCAAGTGTAATATGTTTTGAACAGAAAAAAAAACATGACGTGTGTTGCTTGCATTGTTTCATTCACTGCTTCCTACACACACACGCACACACACACATGATCAATCATATGCGGTTAAGTTCAGCTTCATCAATTCTTGTTGTATAAATGGCATTTGTAATTTGTAAAATGAAAGATCACTTGATACACATCGTAATCATCAGATGTTTGCTGTTTCTTGAGATATTTTCCCCAAAAAAGTTTTTTTATATTATTCTATCAGCTGGAAAGGTGTGAACGACAGTGGGGGGGATGGTCTATTCCGATTCTGAGAACATTCAATCAACGGATCTTCGGATGTAGAATTACAGTTTTTCTGAATGATCGCCAAGATATAAATGCAACCAAACACTGAACGATTAGTATTTTGGTTTGTTGGATGAGATGCAATAACGGATGATTCGTATGATACTTCATTATACCCGAGATATACATACATCAGCGGATTGAATATAAGTAAAGGTCCTTGAAGAAGTGCTTGATGAGAAAGGAAGACTAGAAAATGAAAACAATTCGCATAATGATTATCCATAGTTACAAAGTTAAATATTAACTATATGGTAATAGTAAAGAGGAAGAGAGAGAGACAGAGAGATAGAGAGAGGGAGAGAGAGATGTTAATGAAAGAGAGTTCATGATATGTTTCAGTCGTCATCTTAAGAACAACAAGATATGCATACAGAGCAGAGCTACACACAACACACAACACACACACACACACACATACATTTCCAATGAGAAGCTATTCATACAACAGATAACTATATTAACTAGATTATCATAGAAACAGTGCCTAGTAATGAGGCAAACACATGTGAGATTTTGTCTTTTATAAGTTATTCATACAATGTCATCTAGCACACTCCACATGATCGTGGACATCTGCTCTTCATATCTGGCCAGCTATCACAAGCTCCACCTTGTGCCCAGCTTGAGCATAATGTATCCTTATCCACACACTGCTGTTGTGTACGTTTAGCTGGTGATCGTGATATAAACGTTTTTTGAGCCAGTGTCTGGGCCGCTATCACCTTAACGGCTTCCCATGTTTCACGGGCTGTTGGCATGATCTGCATGTTTAATTGGTTTGTATTCAATTTTATTTGTATTCTAACCTGATTTTCCGGAAGTAAAAATCCATCCCATACTTGTTCTTCAGGTCTCAATTCGAAGAGGAATGAGTATTTTGCGTGTCCTTTTCCTTTAGCCCAATCTTCGGAACCTCCAGAAGCGGGATCTGAAAGACGTCAACGAATGATGAAAAGGGTTTTCCAAAATTACATAAAGTATCAGCTCCCGTTCCTACTTTATAATTTGTTCCATATAATCTACGAAGAGCTTGAGAAGCTGAAAGAGCAGTTGAACGCTGTAAGAAGCTTATGATGAGCTTTATGATTTACTTGAAACTAACCAAATCGTTCAGATCATTAGAGTATGTTCTTACTTGATGACCGAATGGGTACATCAAAATCTGTGAATAAGAATGGAATGTAAGGAAAGTCGTGACGGGATGTCGTTGAACGAAATCACGAACAGCTGCTGTTTCAGGTTCAGAGAAAGCGTAAGCACCCTGTTTTGATTTTATGAATAAACAAAACCAGTAGTAGAGACTAACTTGATAAATTTCAGAACAAGGGTCCGTTGAGGAACCAACTTGTCCGAAGAACCAATCGAAGTTACGATTCAAGTCAACACCTTGGCAGCATGAGGTTTGTGGTCTGGCAAATAAACCTGAAAACAATGCTCTTTCAATTTTTGATTTTATCAAGTTCAAACCAGTTGTCTGAGTTGTGCATTTAGCTGGTGAACGATTCTTTCTCCACAATCTGATTTCTGGATCAGAACTGCTTCTAGAGTACTCATAACCGTCAGGATTCAAGAGTGGGACGATGTTCCTGTAAGGAGAATAGTAAGAAGGATAAGAAGGGCATAATCTACCATTCAAGTTGATCAACGAACTGTCTAATCTGAGCATCATTATCGTACTGCGTGACTAACTGTAAGGTACTCATTGAACTTCAATCTTGCGCTAATTACTCAACCTGATGAATGAAGTATAGCACTGTGGCTGGTGAAACCCATTCTCTAGCGTGTATTCCTCCATCAACCCAAATAACTTTCTTTTCCCCTGGTATGCGCTTGTTGGTGATCTAAAGTACAAGGACTGCGTAATTCACAAAAATTGAAATGTGAGTCAAAGGAAGCTATTGTTTAAGTGTTTTAATCATTCTCCCTCCACTCTTATAAAGCTTCATCCACATGTGTAGAACGGTCAACAGACTTTAGAGTTGACCGACTGTCTACAAATGATGATGAAAATCTTAACTTGGTTTATTGACTTGGTTGTGTGTGTAGATATGAAAGCACACGGTCTATGAATGAAGGACAACTCGGCGAAATGACGTCACGTCGATAGGAAATGAAAGTCTAGAACATAAACGGAGGTACATAAGCTGGTCAATGAACCAACAAATAGTTTTTAAGGTACCAAAAAACTTTGATGAGAGTGCCAAGGTCTAGATGAACAACATCAGATGGAAATGATGTTTGAAATGCAATGAAGTTCATAAAAATTGAGAAACAGGTTCGATTCAACTACCATATAAGTCCATCGGTAAGCTGAGCTATCAAAATAAGGAAGCAGATCTTTGTGTATACGTACAGAACAGTGTATTCTCACTCGCATACACTTCCTCTCTACTTTGTTTTATTTAAATTTAAAAACAGCCATACCTTAATGAGAGGAATCTGACGTCCTTCATGAGTGGTTCCAATTGGTTGGACAGACACTCTCTCTGGGTATGTAATAGCCAAAGCATTCATATAGTTAATAACATCAGCAAAGGAGTGATATTGAGCCAAGTTGAATTGAACCTTAGAATTCAGATGATCATTCATAAAGCTCGTTCAAATACTTACTCTGCCTTCTCTCCAATCTCTCAATCGGAATTGGTTCTTGATATCGTTATGTTTCTTTTCCTGCTTCTCGATGACCCTGAACACAATAACTCAATTTGAGAGAAAAGAAACATTTGAACGAACTCTTGAACGTTGTCAATCATAACAGAGCGAGTGATATTCTTCTCATCGAGCTTGTCCAACAAGGTTTTTCCTGTTACATCATCATCTATCATTATATGAACCTCTTTGCCTAACTCAGTTGGAGCTTTCCAAAAGTCAACCTGTAGCAATGAAAAGTATAATTGAATAGTTGAAGCCTGAATACCTTTGAGTCTCTCATTCTTACTGACTGAAGAAATTGGAGTTCATCTTCATTTTGAGGTTGTAGACGATATACGGAGTACTTCCTTGAATACATCATACACGACTAACTCATTCATTAACATACTTGGCATCCGCAGCTTGATAGAGTAAGCTTATAGTTATTATAGTACATAATATTAGCTTCATTTTCTATAAATTGAGATGATGTATGTGATGTGTCTGGTCGTAAGCAGGTAAGATGGTGATGGAAAGCGAATTTCGTTTAATTACCTGAAATGGAAAATGATTTTAAGTGGCACAGGTAGGAAGCATTGAACAACACGTGAAAGAAACACACAATGAAAAGGATAACTTGGGAATGCCAACAAGCCTGTAGTCATGAGGTGAATCAGATACAGGAAACTCTTTTCATCCTCTCTCCCACCTCTAACCAACAGGATAGCTTGTGGCCGTGAGTAGCAGTAGTCCTCACCCTAGCCAGACCGGTTCAGATTCATCCGTTGAGACTGTTGGCGTGAGATTGAAGGATACGAGTTTACCCTGCTAGCATCATAAAAGACTAAATATAGTCTGCTTGGATAGCTTAGCTTATGAAAACTTTAAACAAGATATCTTTTTACTTTGGCCATATTTGTATAAAAACAGGCTGTTTATGTTGTCCGTATGTGGATGTGTATGTGTGCGTGTGTATGTGTGTGTGTGTGTGTCTGTTGGCGTGTGTGCTTATGATGATGCTGATGATAATGATGAAATGAGACTTAGAGACATCTTCATTTCTATTTCAATCGAGAAACTGACTTAAAACTTTGTAAGCTTGATAATAGATGTCTGATTGAGAATCAATTTCAATCTGTTATCAGAAACTGTCTATCCGCGTGTATGCTGCGTGTATGAGTGTCAATGTAGGTATGTATGCATGTGTGTATGTCTGATGAGAATGAACAGAATAACGATTAACGAACGGATTAAGGGGATGAAGAAAGTGAAAGTGAAATGGGATATTTCTAAATCCGATTTAATCAATTAAGTTATTCTTTTTTGTTCCAATTTCTGAAGAAGCAAACTTATGATGATGGCGATGATTGAATGAATTCAGCCAAATCGATCAATCATAATGACTTTTAAAAAACAATCGTAGTTGTATAGCTCTTATGATCTGCTCCTATTCGCTTGTTCGATAGTAATTCATAGATCATCAGATGGATAAAGTGTGAGGACAAATAACTTGAAGCCAATGCTGAGTGAGAGGAAGAGGATGTGCCGCTGTTACTTCGGTCAGATATGTCATCAACGATTATATATTTTAATAAAAAATATAATATTACAAATAAAAAGGAAAAATTATATAAGAACTAGAAGGAAACTGAAAACAGATGGCTTTCAGAAGCTATGAAGAATGAAGATGATGATGAAGACATAAGCTTCTGGCGAAACCAAAAAAGGAAAAACTGTTGGCCAGACAGAATGTATTCCAGATACGGAAGATGATGATGACAAAGAGGGGAAGATAGTGCGGACTGTGTGTGTCATATGTGTTGATGAAGTTCAGAAGCAAAAAACGGCTGATTGCATTAGTATGGGTTTCGTCTCTCACTCATATTGGTATTATGTATGTTTGGAATTGTATGAGAGGCAAGATTGTAAGGTACGACCATTGAACATCGTTGTCATCAATTGACTTGAAAACGAATGAACACAATTGAGGGATTAAGGCCAGATTGGACGTGCAAGAATTCAGATGACAAAGACAGCAAAATAAGATATGGAACTGTTGTAAGTCAGATAGTTTAGGACGTAAATATATTTGTAATAGTTTAGATAGTGAAAGTTTTCAAATCGAATCCTCTCGGATAGATGCTAGTAGCGTAGGTAATGGATGAACTTTCGTGCATCTAGTACTTCTCTATTACAATTGGAATATTCAACTTGACTACTGTGAGGCTTTGCCTTGTCTGCATGTACAGCTTGAACAACCTTTTTAAGTTTCATAAAAAGAAACAGCTTTTTCGTTCGGAGCCGAATTATAATTACGGGCAATCACGACTAACACGAAATAAGTTTGTCGTTTCTCTAAATAGAGGAGGAGGAGGAGGTGGAGGAAGAGGAGATGCGAAGGAGAGGTGACTATGTGAAAAAGGAAGCTAATAGTGAGAACTTCAGAGACAACGAAAGCACCTCAAGCATAAGTTCAAGATGTGGTCAAACGATCTGTGTATATAAGCGAGAAGACCGACAGATGCGGAAAAGGAACTATCTTAAGGCGGTGAAGAGGAAGAGGTTGAACACGAAATGATGAAAGAAAGAAAAAGACAAGTAGCCGAACAAAACCGAAAATACAAAGAGAACGGAGGGATGAACGACAACTTTTGGCTGTACAAAGGGAGGAAAGAAGATAAGCGTAGGTAGGAGACAGATCGCAACGGAAATAGGAAAAGACAGTGAAGGCTAGCTGCCCTGAGGGATGAAATGAAGAAAAGACAATGTATTATTAGGCCACGCCTTCTGGCTGTTTGTGTAGAAAAAGAAAGTTCTAAAGGAAAACTCTTGAAAAGGAAATAAGAAATGGCTGCATATGAGAAGGTATATGTGTGTGTGAGAGAGAGAGAGAGAGAGAGAGAGAGAGAGAGAGAGAGAGAGGAGGCGAAGGGGGTTGACGTGAGGTTTATAATGAGAGTATAATGAGATTCATGCAAATTGAGAGAGTGCATGCGGCAATCACTGGCTATTATGTGATCAATGCCTTATTCAGGAACAGAAGATCAACATGAAGTTCAAATGATGAAAATCAAAATGAAAGTAGAAAGAATGTGATTAGCAAATGATCGTCTTACCTTCCAATATAATGTGGAGTTTTAGTTGTCTGATGATTGTTTCTACTAGGAGTTCAAATGCCATACAAGGTCATATCAACCGAGTTCTTGAATATTTATGTCCAAAGACCGAAACTGATTGCTATCTTGCCGGAATATGCTCATGTGGCATAACCTGTACGAATTAAAATTAAAAGTTCTCAGTTCATCTACTAATCAACGATCAAGGCTACCTCGTTTTTTTTTGTTTTTCTTTCTCTCAAATATGAAATTGAAGACAATATTTATTTGTCACATTCTGATAAATTATTATTTTCAATTCAGATATGTGATGGGATGTTGAACGGTGCTACGTTGCGAATTTCCTGTCATTCAGATAATGGGACAGTACATGCTTTCGTGTGTTCAATTCATCCCGTCGGCTATTTCACTTGCTAATTTCTATTTATTTTCGCCCATTTCCATATAGGTTGTTAATATTTCGAAACTTCACATTGCACACGCTCCGAATGGTTGTTTTCGCATGTTTTACTCGTCGTCGAACAAGCAAGCTCGCCATGAAGCATGGAACTGTTTCATTGAGTGAATTGTTTGTTGTTTCTGTGAAAATAAGGTATATGCCGTTCACACAAATTGTTTTCTTCGTAACTTGTCTGTATATGTGAGGATGAAATTATTTTTATGTTTTTTTGCGTTCTCTCTGTTGGCGAAGATCGTGTATGCAACCCTCATGACGACTGACGCTCAGTGACTTAACACAGAATATCATTATTTTCTTTGTTTCTCTCTGCTTTAGCGCATTCCTTTGGAACTTCGGCAATGATGAATGATCAAATAGAAACACTACAAATCAATAGGTCTCATAACGAAGCCCCTGATGTTTATTTATTTAAACTTTACTTAGTGTGAAACTTCATCAGTTCATAAATGATAACCAGTATGAATATTCAAGCAAAAACTTGTTTGTTTACCAAGTTCACAAACGTCGCTTGTTAAAAAAACACTCCTTATCTAATACCAAATGCTTGCTTTGTGAGAAAAAGTTGGATTGCTTCGAAGTTTTTCTTTTTTGCAAGCTTAGGTTCTTCTTCGACTACACTGATCTTCTTTACTATTCAATATTAAGTTATCGTATGGTGTTTGTATCAATGACAAGCACAGTATCATGTAGATTATCAAACTTCCGTCGACTATGAGTAATATGATAGGGAATCATAAAGTTAAGTAGCAACACTTGTACTTCTGACTCACTCCATCATCTTGCGAAACCGAGTCCATGTCTCGGTCTAGATTTGAGTGTAGTTATCAATTCGAGCTCATGCGTAAAAAATATTATATTTTATAAGAATCGCTTTATCATTGATTACATGTTCTTACTCTTCCTTTAGACTAGCAAGTCCGATGTTCACCTCATTATTTCTTGAGTTATAGATATTGCATTGATGAATAGACCGCCTAGTTTAAACTTACAAGAACGTGTTAGACGAGCAAGGCCTCAATTAGAACAGAGTGGAATATCATATGCCTTAACAGTGAGCACTTAAAAGTCTTTTCAATTGTCTACTTTCCTTCTTTCAGTATGTGGGATATGTGCCGGTCCTTGCTCCGGTTCATAGAATGAACTCAAAGGAGCGAGAAGCTCTGATTAAGTAGTTTTCTCAATGTTTTTCATGTTTCAATATTGTGTTTTCAGACAAGTTTTATTAACTCTGTCAGCTCTTAAACATAAGACGTCTCTTCCTACTCCGGATCGTTTAGCAAGTGAGGTAGTGCTCATTCGAAACTTCTCCAATAGTCCTTTATTCTTTAAGTTGATGGGAGAGCCAAAACTATTAGATATAAAAGTGATGCTGAACATCAATTCTAGTAAAATCTCGGTTACATATAATGAACGTGAAAAGCTAGAATACAAACCAAAGTTAGGAATGCTATATAGGCAGCATCCTGTAATGTTTACTTCAATTGTCGATTTTATCGTGAGTCACACTTATAACTCGTGTAAATTACAATTGTTCTCTTCCAGCCAGAAATCAATGATTGCTTTGCTTATATATCGAAACGCATCAATTCAGATGATAGGCGATGTTGTGTCTTTCTAGCAGCTCCAAAAGCTGTAAGTGAACTTCTTCTCATCTGAACTGAAATCCAATTTTGCAGATAAAAGAGGTTTTTGATACTTTAGAAGAAGCTATTGAAATCAACACGCACAACGGGGAGAATGAGAATGGTAAAAGCACCCCAACAGGCAACCATAGTCGTGTAAGTGTCTTATCAGTGATTCTTTTTATGGCTCATAATTTTTCAGAATAATTCTTCCGGGGCAGTGACACCTACTCCCGGAAATGACAATTCTAGGTATTCGGACTTATTCAAGTTCAAATGGTATCACGGAAGTATCGGTCGTGAAACCGCAGTCTCATTTTTGCATAACAAAGGGGATTTTCTTATAAGGTGAGACTTCTACTGCTTCCTCATTATCTATACTGATTATCCCTTCTCAGAGATAGCAGCACGGTGAGAAATCAACTCATTTTATCGGCAATTTGCGAACAAGGTGTTCAAAGACATATAGAGTTATTTAGTTTAGATGGATCTGTACGTTTATGGCCATCATTATGCGATTCATCTCTTTTTCTCTTTTTCAGCTACGAGTAGGGAATCTGCTCTTTCCCTCAGTAGAGGATATGATTAATCATTTTATGGAAAAAAAGACGCCTATCCGAAACACAGTCGTATCTACAGAAATGTTTTTGCGTTGGCCTGTGCCTAGGGTCGAATGAGAGCACATCATCATCTCTCTCTCTCTTCCTCCTCCGCTCTCTCTCTCTCACTCACTTGTCTTCATGTTTTGTTGAGGGAATCTCAGTTTTCAGGATTTTTAACCTTTTGTGTACAGATTTACTAACACCTACAGCTCGATTTTTTAATCGAAACCCAAATTTTTAGTTCAAAGTGATCAAAGAGATTGTGATAATCTAATAAAATTCTATTTTTTCTGCGAACTCTTCCGCCCTGCCTTGTAAACTCGAACAAACTATACACTCTGAGTGAACTCACTCTCTTCTGCTCAAAGTTTTTTTCAAGTTTGTTTTGAGACCTCACTTGCATACTTCTGTTCAAATACACCTCCAACACAAAATGCTACAATGAGACGTTGTACATTTAAACTTTTATTTTCATTTCCACATGTTATCCAAAGTCGAAAAATATTGTTTAGCATGAAGACGTTGGTCAACAGTTATCACGTCCCCCGTTAGTGATAAGACGCGCACCGGCTCTGAAGCTGTAATTACGTGGTTATATAATCTCATTAACTAGAAATTATCTGCAGACTATTGCCAAATCATACATAATTAATATGAGTAAATTACTGGGAGAATATCAAAATATCAGCTGATGGACGGAGAGCCCATAAACGTTTTGTTTACATCCCGGTTTCAGGAAACTCACCTCGTGTTTTGTTTGACGTCTTATTGAACAAGCTTGTGCGTGTAATATCGCGGAACGATGTCTTCCATGTGACATTCGAGTTGATGCTGCATGAGATTATCTTAATAGGTAGATAGGCAAACAGCGATTCGTAGAGATGATACATGAGGAATACGAAGAGATTGTTGCTCGGAAAAATCTGGAAAATCAAGCAGAATTCATGCCATCTCATCTTCTGTGGCGACTACCTTGATGGTCAGAAAGGCTATCAACAGACAAGCGAAACATCCGGATATGAAAGCTTTCAATGTTGATTTAATTATTCTACCTAGGCGTACATTTTCAGACAGCTGATATCTGAAAAAAAATCAGGAAATTGTGAGAATTCACAGAACAACCGCTTCACGTCTCGAGAAAAGGAGAAATGAACTGCTAACTCACTTGATGCTCAATGAGTACGCGTTGACGTTCTTCTTGTATTCATTCTCAGACCAGTTAGTTAGTCTCAGAAAGATCGCAAATGATATTAAAGAAGTCAAAAAACCGAGTAGCAAGAAAATCATGATTTCAAAGTTCACTTAAAATAAAATTCTTAAAATAGTAACAGTGAGCAAGCAACATACATATAACAACGCTATAACAGCACGCTGATGGAACCAACCATGTGGATATCATTATCAAGCCAATCAGAAAGGGATTTCTGTGAAATAGGGTTGAGAGCAATCATGCAGTGCTAATCTTACCTTTGTTTTTCGTATGTTCTTATACGAACCGTAGCTATAACGCGTTCAAGAACCAACGAGAGACAAGCTAGAAGAGCTGATGAAGCAGCCACTGTGCGCAGAGCGTCTAGGTAAACTGTGTATGGTATGGAAGACATAATTTCTAGAAGATATGAGAATGCTGGATAAGACATATGAGGTAACTTACCAAAACGACGTGTGCCATCCAATAGAAATGGAAATATAATACAAAGTCTAGGCACGGATAAAACAAAGTATGATATGAAAAAGTTCGTTGTGATTCCTAATACGTGAGGATGAAATATGGGATGTAAGAATAGAATGATATAACCTCAAACAATGATTTGAATGTAGCATGTGAAAATGAAAACTCACTTCCTGACATGGTGTATATGAATGCTACAGCCATGAGGACCATCTCAATGATGAGAAGACCTAGGTGAAGCAGGAATAGATTTTCAGGAATATAGACATCATTAACAGTTATCATGTCGATCTGAAGTTGTAATGAGCGTTCTGCAGTTTTGAAGGATGAAGCCTGTTTTTCGGAAGCTTTCGAGGAAAATTCAACAGATCAGGTGCTTATTCTTAATTTTTGTTAAAAATTGCAGTGGACATTGCGTAATACTAGAATTAAAAATGAAATGTTAAACATATATTAGGAGAGCCGTTGTTGTTGATGCGAATCTTTAGTCAATGTGGAATGGAGTACGATTGAAATGGAATGAATGAGAACTTTCTGAAGAGGCAAAAAACGATGAAAAGCCAAATGCTAGAAGTAACTGATTATAGACCAACCTGATTACTCGACAAGGGGGAAGGCATCAACGAAGGCAGTGCTTTTCTTGCTAAATTAATGTTTTGAGTTTTGGAGATCAAGAAACCATGGCAGATGAGTTTGAGTCCGACCATCGGATCTGATTCAATGTCAGAATTCCAGAATGATATGAAGAAATAATCTCGTGAGGAGAGTTATTATAGGTGTTTGTCTTCTATTGTAGGTTTGCAGCAGTAACTTCCATCTCTTTGCTAGGCAGTGCAAAAACTTGCAAGAACATCATCATTGAGCGTACGACCTCTATTTCCGTCTTGTTACACTGAACGTCACATCCATTAAGACTTCAGACATCCATATTAACAATATGCTAATAAATAATGTATGAATGCTATCATTATATGCTCTTCTGTTTTATGATTCTCGTTGCTGTCTGACCATCTAAGTAATGCAACCGATCTGTCCCGTTACATATCACAGCAATGATTTCCTATTCTTACGTCTAATTAGCATATTTCCAAATTTTAAATTAGCGCGAAAAAATGTTTGAATGATCATTCATACATATTCATATCTAGTTGTTGATGTTTTGTTTCTTTCACCCGACAAGAGATACATCTGTACTTTCAGTTACATTTTAAAATCTGAATATCACTGTTTGTTTGTGGAGTGCTTTATGTAGTTTCTAGTTTGATTGATTAAAGCTACGCTCGTTCAACATCTTACACCTATAAGGTTTCCAGAGAGTATACTACTCATAGAGGGAAGGGCGTAATATCGCGTGAGGTGTGCAACCATCGCCATTTCACATCAGATCATCGCCTGTGGCTCGTGCTTTTAGTATTAAAAGACTTGATTTATCAGTTTCTCCTTTTTTTCTTCGTTCTTCTTCTCTTTTTTTCCCGAAAAAAACCTTTTTGATAAGCTTTGTTTATGAAAGTGCCACAAGCGATTGATGCTTTTGAAAGTGCGCTAAACACAAGTTGTGTATTGATTCGCATCGGTTTTGATGAAAGTCACGTTCGGTTGTGTGTTGGCTAGCATAATGTGCCATCCAATGTTCCAACTTGCACCCTTTATTGTTAACAAAAAGGATGTTTGTTCATTCCTTTATTTAATTTTGTCAACTCTCTCAACCTCTCCTTCTCACCCTCTCTCTGTCTCCCATCCGCTTTCTCTCTATTCCTTTTCCATAGTTTTTTTTGTTTCGTCTTTCTGGTTTTGTTGGAATCATATCTTGCTTCGTTGGCTGTTCCATAATCTATTGATTCTTTCCTATTTTCTGTACGTGTAGTCTATTTGTAGGTGAAAATGAGCCTCACTGCTGACCCAGCTTTCAACGATTTGAAGAATCATGTACTCAATGTCGAAAAAGACTTGAAAATCAATGATTTGTTCAAAGTGGATGGCGAGAGATTCCAGAAGTTCAGGTTGCAAAGTTTTCTTCATACTTCATAACCATATTGTTATTTTAGCCATTTCTACAATACTCCTGCCGGAGACATCTTGTTCGACTTCTCCAAGCATCGCTTGACTGAGATCACATTCGACAAGTTGATGGCTTTGGTAATCATTCATTTTCCTATTATTTTTACCCAATTAAACATTCAGGCGAAATCACGTAAAGTAGAAGAAATGAGAAATGCTATGTTCTCTGGAGAAAAGATCAACTTCACTGAGAATCGTAGCGTTCTTCACATTGCCTTACGTAATCGTTCCAACGCCCCCATCATCATTGATGGAAAGGATGTTATGCCTGATGTCAACAGAGTTTTGGAGCATATGAAAGACTTCTGCGATCAAGTAGTTCTCTTCTTTGTTACCTTTCACAATGTATATTCTAGGTTATTTCTGGAAAATGGACTGGATATACCGGAAAGAAGATAACCGATGTTGTCAATATTGGAATCGGTGGATCTGACTTGGGACCATATATGGTCACAGAAGGTCTTCGTCATTACCAAGTAGGACCCAATGTTCACTTCTGTAGCAACGTCGATGGTACTCATATTGCTGAGGTAAACAGTCGTATTGTTTCGCCGTTTCACTCGATTATTTCAGATCACCAAGAAGTTGAATCCAGAAACAACTCTTTTCATCATAGCCTCAAAGACTTTCACTACTCAAGAAACTATCACTAATGCAGTAACAGCCAAAGAATGGCTCCTCAACCAGGTAATCCTTTACAATTTTCGAGCTATTACATTACTTCATTTCGCCAGGCTGGAGATGGGTCTGCTGTTGCTAAACACTTCGTTGCTCTATCTACCAATGTACCTAAAGCATCTGAGTTTGGTATTGACCCTAGTAACATGTTCGAGTTCTGGGACGTAAGACTGTTTCTTTCCGAGTTCCTGGATTTACTCTTTTCTTTCAGTGGGTAGGAGGACGTTACTCCCTCTGGTCAGCTATTGGATTATCGATTGCTATTCACATCGGCTTCGATAACTTCGTTCAAATGCTGGAAGGAGCTCACGCCGCTGATAAGCACTTCGCCTCTGCAAGCTTGGAGAAAAATGTATGATTATATATTCAAGCATAATTAACTGTCGTCTGTCAAGATTCCTGTTATAATGGCCATGTTGGGAGTTCTTTACCATAACGTCCTTGGTGCTGAAACTCATGCTTTATTGCCCTACGACCAATATCTCCATCGATTCGCTGCTTATTTCCAACAAGGAGATATGGAGAGTAATGGAAAGTTCGTTACCAGGTATGTTTCCCTAGCAAATACTTCGACGAATTTGTTTTATAAAGACATGGTACTCGTGTTGACTACTCTACCGGTCCAATTGTTTGGGGTGAACCAGGAACCAATGGGCAACATGCTTTCTATCAGCTTATCCACCAAGGTACTAGACTTGTACCTGCTGATTTCATTTGCCCCGTGAAGACTCTCAACCCAATCAGAAATGGTGTTCATCATAAGGTTCTCTTTCCTCTTCCGCTATGTTGTTATGTCATACTTCATAGATCTTGTTAGCAAACTTTTTGGCACAAACTGAAGCTTTGATGACCGGAAAGAGCTCAGAAGAAGCTCGTGTTGAGTTGGAAGCTGCTGGTCACAGCGCTGAAAGCATCGAGAAGATTCTTCCCCATAAAGTTAGTTCTAATATTTGAACCTATTCATTCCTCTGCTCGACAGGTTTTCGAAGGTAACCGCCCAACAACTTCTATTGTGATGCCAGTTATCACACCTTTCACTCTCGGAACTCTTATTGCCCTCTATGAACACAAGATCTTTGTTCAAGGAGTTGTTTGGGATATTAACAGCTTCGATCAATGGGGGTATGACACCAAAAGCAATGCGATGCATTTTAATTTCACTTCAGAGTTGAACTTGGAAAGCAATTGGCTAAGCGTATCGAACCTGAGCTCGAGCATGCTGGAGATGTAACATCCCATGATGCCTCAACTAATGGATTGATCAACTTCATCAAGAAAGCGTCTCATTAATAAACTCACTGGGATTTTCAGTTTTAAATTATTTTCGTAAGAATCATAGTATATTAGAATCAGCATTTCTAGTCGAATGATGTCCGGTACAGCAAGAAAATTAAAATATTTTTTTTAAGAATTCTAAATAAAGCTTTTTATATTTTAAAATGTTGTTTTGTTGTTGCGGTTATGAACCGTGTTGTCATATCTGATACAACGTGTTCGTTCCTGCAGAGAACGGTTGCATTCCAATTTTCCGCAATCAAGAAGTAGTGAGGTTTAGTAATTGACAAAGGGATGCTAATGTATGCATTTCTCGCATTTGTAGACATGTTTATCAATATCCAACGCCTCAATTATTCTTTTTCTCACTTTCTCACATTTTCGTTCTTTTATTTGAAAATATTCAGATGGCAGGTTATGCTTTGAAAAGGCTAATGACAGAATATAGAGGTTTGTATACGCTTATTAAGTTGTTTCATTTTTGTTTAAGAATTAACTAATCGACCTCCTGAAGGAATCATTGCTGCTCCGATCGATGATGAAAATTTTTTTGAATGGGAATGTCTTATAACAGGTTGTTGAACTTATTAATCATCATTTATTCAGTTATCTTTGCAGGGCCTGAAGACACATGCTTTGCAAACGGTGTTTTTCCTGCTCGCATATCTTTTCCTCAAGACTATCCGTTAAGCCCTCCTAAAATGCGTTTTTGCTGTGATCTTTTCCATCCTAACATATATCAGGATGGTCGTGTTTGTATTTCTATTCTTCATGCCCCTGGAGATGACCCAACCGGATATGAAAGCTCCTCAGAAAGGTTAGTTAGTATGTAAGACTGAAATACATTATCGAGCATCAGGTGGAGTCCAGTACAATCGATTGAAAAAATTTTGTTGAGCGTTGTGAGCATGCTCGCAGGTAAATGAACATTGAAGACTATTCTATAGAATATGTTAAGAGCCTAACGATGAATCGCCGGCCAATGTGAATGCAGCTAAGATGTGGAGAGAAGACCGAGCACAGTTTGAGCGTATAGCTGACAATTTGGTCAGAAAAACGTTATGTTTACCGCAAGCTTCGAATGAATAACTCGACATTATTTATAAACTGAACTTGATAGTCATTTCTTCAAACATGTCACTTATACAGTTTTTAAATAAACTAATTTTCATCTGTATATCAACAGCACTTGTTGGATTTCACGTTCCGCTTTCTCTGACATCGCACGATCTCAAGTGAATTCCACATAGAGAACGGCATGACTACGGAAAGCTTGACAACTTCTGTTGCTATCAGGAGGTTCTCTTCTAGAAAATATATAAATCTTCCTCAAAATCAGCATCATAGTCTACTTGGATAAGCCATTCAATGAAATCGAAAACATACCAAGTGTTCAAAATTAGAAAGTCATGGATGCATGGGCACGGTTCAGTATATGGCAGCATTGCTCAAACATAGAAGGTATGGAACCAGTTCGAAACTCGAAAAACAAGCAGCACACTGAGCGTCCTCTAATAGAACATTCTCTGAAGACAGATCAGACTTGCAAGATTGGAACTAGTGGATTTTCTCTTCTCCTACAGGTTATAGAAATGTCATGAATCTCTCGACAAACTTCAACACGTACAGCCTCCTACTCAAAACAAAAACAGGAAAATGGAAAACCCGTTCATCATTAACATCCTCAAGGTTACCAGGTTACTAGAGATTCAAGAGCTCCGAAAGTGAACGGCTCTTTAGATCACTTTTTCCCATTTGAGCTTCTGCATTTCGCCAACCAAACCAATTCATTCGACTAAAACAACAAGATATGATGTTGAATTTGTAAAGATCAACTGCGTCTTGCTGCCTGTTAGCAGTAATGACGTGAGTCAAGTCACTTAACCGAACTGAGAAATGGTGTTAGCACAGAGCGAGAAAGCGCATAGCATTAGATCTCAAGAAAGAATTTCATGGAACTAAACTAACTGTTCTTCAGACAAGTGAGAACAACAAAGTTTCGCTGTTTTTCAGAATATATCTCTTAATAGTTAATACTAAAATTCGTTATAAGCTTCATGATGTTCTACAGAAGAGACACTGATTACGAAGGGGGTCGGTTCAATTTGGCGCCCTGGTCATGATTTGGCGGGAAATATGTGTGTTGAATTGCAAGTCCGAACGTCTTGTATATGATAATTGTATCGATTTTAATAATATTTTAAAATCAGTTTCAGCTTTTGCATAAACATCTACTCTCTCACAATCTCCCTCTCTCCCTCTTTTCCTCTCTTCATCTGTTTTCTCTCTGTATTACTTTGAAACAAACACATCGCTTTTGTAACTTCAGCCATGGCAACAGTTGAATGCTCAGCAGATTTGTATGAGCAATACAGGAAAGGTGATAGACTACCTCTAACTGCTGGAGCAGTAAGAGTTGGGTTTTTCGATTTTGTTCGCTCAAACTTTCTTATCCTTTTAAGGACTTTTATTTGCCTGATGTCGAACTAAAAAAGCCCGCCGTTGTACAAGTTCAGGTGAAACTGTTCTTCTCCCCACATACATATAACACAAAATAATTTGAATTTTAGAATTTGAAATGTGAGAAAGAAAACACATTGAATTGCTGTGCTCGTGCGAAAATCTCAGACGGGTTCTTCTACTCTAACTGTTCGTTAACGGTCATTACAAGGCAATTGTTATGAATCCTTTTCAGCTGCTTTCTTTTCTGACATTCTAACATCAAAGTTTGAGAGAGATAATATTATTGGAAAGTCCGATGATTCCAACACGGGAGGAGAAATTATTTTAATCAAAAAAATAAGAAAACAAGGCAATCTGACTGCTCAAGGGTAAGAAGACATCGAGTTGTGGGTTTCATGTTGACTGTTTGAGTTTGGTACCTGTCATCATCGAAGAATATGAACTTCTCAGCAGAGGACATGAACTTGTAAACAATGGAAAACAAAACAAGATCTTGGATCTCAATGTCAGTTGAACTACTTTTTATTTTCTTTTTTTTGCTGTTTGTCGCGTAAGTTACGCAGAAAAGAGCGTTACCAATGCACATTACCACTCTTCTCGCTTCATCCTTGAATATGTCATCTGTGTCTTCTGAAATTTACATGACTTTGTCAGACTGCTGAGCAATTCCGTGATTTCATCCCATCTGCGGAGATTACCGTTGCTTGGTTGAAAGCACAGAGCAAAGACGGTGCGAAACAGTCAGGTTGATCATAAATTGCAATTTCTCGCTAACTAAACATGTTTTAGACATGAAAGGAGCTCGTGCTCCACCTCCTAGTGGAAAGCAGAATGCTGCACAATCTAACATTACTCCAATTAAAATGATCACCCCCTATGTTAACAAATGGAGAATCTGTGGACGGTGTACTAACAAGGAAGAGCTCAGAGATATCAAAACCAGAAATGGCGAAATGAAAGTACGTTTGAATCGTATATTTTCATATATTGAAATATTAAGGTTTTTAACTTTGACTTAACTGACAAAGATGGTGATTGTATACGTTTAGCAGGTTTTGGAGATAGCGCTGTTCGTGCTTACAACGTCATTCAAAACGATTGCGTGAGTACGATATGACGTCTTCGTTCCTCTATTCTCTATCTTTTTAGTGTTATTATATTTCTGGTGGTACTGTTAAGCAAGCAAACCGCACTTTCAATGCTACTGGTCATGATTACGAGTTGACCCTCCGAAACGATACTGAGGTATGTAAGAGGATGTGATGGGAGTATGTACTCAAGTTTCAGATTACTCCATGCCATGACACTTTCCAACTTCCACCCTTCTCTCTGAAGGCTTGTCCATTGGATCGTTTGGCTCAGCATAAAGATCAAATCATTGATATTCTGGCTGTTGTAGACAAAATGGAAGGTCTTAACGATGTTTGTTTCTTCTTATTTTCCTCAAAATGATAATTCTTGTATTAGTTTGTTTCTCGTGCCGGAAAAAATATGACCAAACGAGAAGTGAATCTTATTGATACCACAGGAACGATTGTTCAACTTGTGTTATGGGGAGAACAAGCTCGTAATATGGATGAGAACGCTTCAGGTCAAGTAATCGGTATCAAAGGATGTGTTGTCAAGGAGTGGAACGGTAGTTTTCTTCTCTTGTTACATGATCATATGGTATATGCAGGTAGTATCAGTTTGAGCACTGTCGGAGGGTCTAAGATCGAGCTCTCTCCTAACTTACCTGGAGTTCAAAATTTGTATGGATGGCATCAGTGTGAGCGTCCAAAGATAGAAGCCAAAACTCTTACTTCTAACAGCTCAGGATCTGATTCTTTCTGTAAGTACCTAATCGCTTTGAGGAGAATCAAAGTTCCTTGTTTTCAGCTAGAGATTTCAAACTGATCGGAGCTGCTTGTGCTTTGCAATTAGGAAACGAGCCTGATCAACCAAACGGTCGTTACATCAGTATGAAAGCCATGGTTACTAACACTAGAGCTGAAAACGCCATTTACATAGTTTGTCAAACATTGTATGATGTTGTGAGTAAATTGAAAACTCTTCAGGCTTGCCCCAATGAAGGTTGTCAGAAGAAGGTTATTCAACTTGATGCTCAATATCGTTGTGAGAAGTGTAATACAACTAGTGATAATTACAAATGGAACTACATGGCATCCGTAAGACTATTCAATTCATTTCGTGTATTAGAACCAACATAATTAAGATGGAAGTGACGGATTGTACAGGATCCATCTGGGTTACTTTGTTCGGCAAGTCTGCTGAAAAAGTTTTGGGACGTACTGCCAACGAACTAGGAGAGTTGAAAGAAGGAGATGTGAGTTTGAAAGTCTTTTCATGAAAAACTTTTGTTACCTTCTCAGACCGATGCTTACAATGCCGTTTTCGAACAAATCCGATTCAAATATTATAATTGGAGAATAAGAGCCAAGCCAGAAACCTATAACGTAGGCATTGATTATGTAATCAAATGGGTAGTTATTGAATTTTTAGGATGAGACCAAAATGCGGTACAATGCTGTTGATGTCACTGATGTCAACTACGACAAGTATATCGCCGAATTGAAAAAGGGTATCGAGGCCCTTGAAGCTATTTAAGTTGTAACTATATAATTTTCCCAATATTGATCTGAGAATGGCTGGGCAGAGCTTTTCCTCCAACGCTTGTATGATACTCTTCCGGTTATGTTATTATGAAGTAAACATGCTTTGACTTTTATCTTGCTTTTACAATCTGTTTTATCCAGTTAATATTGAATCATTCTCGATTATTGTTATGTTATAAAAGTTTTGAATAGAATGGCTATTAACGTGGATCCATTGGCAAACGAAAGATGGAGGGATGTCCGTCGTCTTACCGACGGTCCTTCGGGTTTTACAGTAGAATTTTTCGAACCCGGACCTGAGAATATGAAGGCTATTCACGACATGAGAGTTCTAGTTATTGGTGCCGGAGGGCTAGGGTGTGAATTACTGAAGAACTTGGTTTGAGAAACGTTAATCATATTCATTATGTCAAGTGTTAAGGCTTTGTCTGGTTTTCGATGCATTGATGTCATTGATATGGATACAATTGAGCTTTCCAACCTCAATAGGCAGTTTCTGTTCAGGTTAGTGACGTTTACTGAATTAATCATCTTTTGGTATGCTAATTCATACGTTACTTTCCTCACGTGAAGTTTTGATTAACCATTTGAAGATCAGTGTTCGCTCTATGCGGTTGTGTTCTATGTTTTCTTTCTAATTTTCCCTTTCTCATCATAATGCTACAGAGACTCAGATGTTGGTAAATCAAAAGCAGAAGTAGCAGCTCGTTTCATTCAGAACCGTGTTGATGGCTGCCAAGTTACAGCGTATGATTCTTCGCTTCAATCTGAGTTATAAGAAGTTTGTAGACATAACTGCCGTATCGAAGACAAAGACCCTGATTTTTACCGACAATTTCAAATTGTGATTTGCGGACTGGATTCTATTTTAGCTCGAAGATGGATCAATGCTATGCTGGTTTGTGAAACTTTCGAAATTCACAAATAATGGTTTCATTTCCAGTGTGATTTGGCTTTAATGAATGATGATGGTAGTGTTGATATGTCCACGATTATACCAATGATCGACGGTGGCACGGAAGGTTTCAAAGGGAATGCTAGAGTTATCTATCCTCGTTTATCTCCCTGTGTAGACTGTACATTGGACTTATATCCACCACAAGTGAGAGATATCATTAATTCAGACAGCATTAATTATACGTTTGTAGATTAATTTTCCTCTTTGCACTATTGCTAATACTCCTCGTTTGCCAGAACACTGCATTGAGTATGTGAAAGTAGTAATTTGGCCCCAAGAAGCTCCATTCGAAGGTAAACTCTATGAGTTTACAGATTGATGGTTCATGACTAGTTCAGGTGCACCCTTAGATGCTGATGATATGAGTCATGTAACATGGGTTCAACGAAAAGCTACCGAAAGAGCTGAGAAATTTGGTAAAACATATACGACTTAGACAAACTACAATTATAATATGTTAAGGAATTAGAGGTGTCGACAGAAGATTGACACAAGGTGTCTTGAAACGTATAATTCCGGCAGTAGCGTCAACGAATGCCGTTATAGCTGCATCATGTGCTTTGGAAGCTTTGAAGTTAGCGTCAAAGTGAGCTTGATACCTTGACATCTTGGACATTCACTCTTTACAGCACTGCCAAGCCTATTGATAATTATTTGAATTTTGCTGACATCGAAGGAATTTATTGTGGAGTCGTCAAGTTAGAGAAAGATGTAACTTCATGCTGAACAGTCGCTAATGTGTTCGAATTCATTTAGCCAAATTGTGTCTCCTGCAGTTTTGGAAGCGCGCCCGTCGAATGTAATCCAAATGACACTCTGAATGATTTGATAGAGAATCTGAAGAAGAAATAGTGAGAGATTTTCATTTTTTTGTAAACACAGGTTGTTTCAGTCAATTGAAAAATCCTTCGGTTGAAACTAGTCAGAAGAAGCTATACTTGATCAGTAGTTTCTTCCCAAGCTTGGTGGAAGAGAGTAAGAATAACCTCTCGCTTCTGCTCTCAGGTTAGTACAGCAAAGATATTTGTATAACGATTGTATCTCAGATTTGGTTATGAATGGAGAGAATATACTTGTCGCTGATGAAGTTTTACAGAAATCTTTAACTCTTAGGATTATATTCTTATGATTGCGTGATAATTAATCTTTTAAATATTTTAATGTAAAAATGAAATAAAAACAAAAAAATGAAAAATTTCGTATTGAAGGGGGTTGCGACATCATGTATGTCCTCTAGAATCAGAGGATTTTCATTTTTCGAAAGGAATTTATTGTCTTCCTGCTCTTTTCATTCAAATCTCTCAATCTGTTCGGTGTTGCCATCTCTTACGGATAGTTCTTGAGAAGAAATTGCAGTGGTCAAAGTTCTTGAGCGATAGCGATGCAGTGTTCGCAATGCACATCTTACCTCCTACTGTTCGCTCAAATGAGAGGAATAACTGAAAACAGTCCGAGCTTCTCCTTTTTTTTGAGGCTTGCAATTGGATTGTACACATGATTTACATTTTTTATGCTTCTGCGGAGTTTTCGGTTTTTCATGCTATTTCATTTTGAACATTTCAGAAATTATTGCGCGGTTGTTCTCACGCTGAGAGATTTCCGTTTTCCACACCTGCATCGTGCTAGCCAGTTGTCCCGAGTAGTTTCATGACTGCACGTATTTTTTTTTCCTCGCAGGATAGATCGCCGTGTTGCTGTGATCGATGCGAGCTTATCCTTGAAGTATCAAGTTATACACTTTGGAGCTCATCAGTTGTCGAGTAATAACCTTATCGAATTCAGTCTTATAGACAACTCAACAAACGTATCCATAGACATTCTTCACCAGAATGAAGAAATGTAAAAATATGAATAGGAATAGTCATCGAGATCATCCAAATAGGAGAGTCTTGGAGTCAGAATCTCATTCCACTACGAATTCCTGATTGTACTGACAGGAAAAACTTCCAAAACGTCTTCCAGATGTATTAATTATTTCAAATATTTTTTTCTATCATTTTTTCGGTTTTCAATGAGATATACTGATCAAGTACACTGACGTTCATGTCAATATGTCAATATGTCGTACAAGATATGGGTGGGTACCTCTTAGGTAAGGATCTCCTTTCTGTTTCTTATATCGATAGGTGACTGTTATGCTTGATATTATTAATGTTCTGATGAATATCTGGTTTTGTGACGATGGCAGCATATGACAGTATCACAAGAAGAAGTCCTGTAACCTTCATTCAAAACATTTTCCAACGTCTAAGAGGCATGAGGTTGATTCCCGATGTTTTTCCTGAAGAGTACTTCTTTCGAGAAGTCTGAGACGCAGGTAGCTATTCCAAACGATCATCGATGAAGGTAGTTAATCATTTGGGATCGGTTGATCAGGAAGAGAGGGGTCAGAGAGGAGAGAAAATTGAACAGTTTCTATGTCTCAAGCTTTCAGTGACTCTCAACTGTACTATGTTTCGTGCCAAATGAGATAAACAGCTTTTTTCTCCTTTCATAAAAGTTTGTACAAAAGGACATTGCAAGTAGAATGTGAAAACAAAGAATGTGGCTCACATTAGAAAGCAGTAGGCAAGCCCTAAGATTGTAGCTGGCTGCGGCTGTATTGAGTTCAAAATGAGAGCAATGCTATAATAGGGTATGTTTCGAATGACTATGCAGTTGACTCTCTGGATGAAACAAGGAACAAGTATGTATACTTGTAAAAACAGTGCAGATTGCCAAAACGACTCCAATCACGTTCATAGTTACGTTAGTAGTTCCCAGGAGAAAGACGTGCTGCACTTCCTCAACAAGATAGTTCACTATCCCGTAACGATGCTGTTCTCATTGTTATTCTCATAATCCTTGCTTGTTTTGAAAAACCAAGTTTGAACTGACATTATGAACATGTCTAACAGCTGATTCTCATTTCTCTTTCGACCTTCATATAGCAAGCATCGTTCAGCTGTAGTGGTTCAGCATTTTTATATTTTTTTTGCATCCTCTTCCAAGATTCTCGAAAGCATCTATCCTTTTCTGTTTTGTGTACAAGTCAGCAATCGTTCAAAATGTTGGACGAGCAACAACATTGTTGTGCGTCAAATATTAAAATTAATTATTTCGATCAGTTCAAGCTGAAGACGGAAGGAGGCGAAGAGAATGTGAAAGGTTGCAGAAGCGAGAAGACGTTAGTTGAATCTCCCGGGGATATCTATATGGCCATTTAAGTCAATGTTTGTGGGTCATTAAAGAAATTGATATTCGATAAGTTTCGTTTGAACGAAGTGTTGTATTCACTTCAATCGTACATGGCCAGAAGCTTTGTTAGCTGTCTCTCTAAAACTTGAAGCTTAAACCCATCCATAACAACAACAACAACAACAACACAAATAAGCAATGTAGTCGCCGAAAATAGTAAAAAATACATTTTTTTTCTCCCTCATTGCTGCTGCTTCTTTTTGATATCGTCCTCACTATATACACCCTGGCAGCATATCGATTTCGATTCTTATTGATTTGAATGAAAATTCAATTTTATGTTTTTACTTTTTGTTTTCCATACGAACGTCATGTTCAACCTAAAGGCTGACTGGCCTCCATCCCACCCCCAGCATCATGCTACCTACTCACATCTACTCACATCATTCAAACAGTTCGTCCCTGGCTGCCGTCGTTCATCATCAGAATCTTCGATGTCGTATCGTTTTTTGAACACGAAACGATCATTTTTCATGTTTTGAAATCATCTCACATTACATCTCATCTATATAGAATTGGTCATTTAAAAGAAAAAAATCTTTTGTTATCTGCCACTCCATTGCTCATTATCTTGCTGTCTCTCTCTCTCCTACTCTCTCCCTCAATTACTTCTGTTTACTTTCGGAACATTTGTTACCGACAAGAGTTCTTTTCATTTTTTACACCTCAATCACTAGCTCTGGCTATTATTCCAGAACCATAATGATAATAAACTTCATAAGAGAGAGATTTGCTTGATCCCCTTCCAATGTTCCATCATCATCATGATCCATCTCTCTGCTTCAACCTCTCTCTTCTCTACCTACTCTCTTTCAACGTTTTTATCTTGTTTTCAATTAATTTATTGTAGTCAAATGAGAGAACACTTCTCACCGTCTTCCTCATCATTCAATATTTTTGTTTTTATTCATTCATCTCATAAATTCTCTTCGATCAAATGATTTTCTTTTTTCCCTCGTTTCACAACCTCAAATCTTATTCCTGCCGTTCCATCTTCAACCTTCTTCGTACCTCTCTTACTTCTCTCCCTCTCTAAGAATGAAGTTTTCTCTCTATCTCTGTTCTCTTCACCTCTCTCTCTCTTCCACTCTATCTACTCCATTCCCTTTCTCTTCAACCCCCACCTGTGTCCTTTTATAACTTCTTTTTATTCGCTTTTTCTAGTGTTAAGATTAAATTTCTCCCTTTCACTCATTTTTTTTATGAAAAACGTTTGAGTAACTGAAAAGCGGAAAAATCTTTCAAAAACCATATCCGGCTGACGGAATCGGCTGTCCATAGATTCTTCTCTTCGTTGTGACATCATTTTACACCACAAATTAGTTTGAGAGTTCCATAAGTAATTCATAATAACTCTGACTCCCTCTCTCTCTCTCCCTCTCTCTCTGGATTTCTCTCTCTCTCTTATATCCAGAGCATTGACCTCTCTCCCTTCTCATTTCCTTTTCACTTAGATAGTGCAAACTTTCTTTTCCCAGAATTTCGAATCTACCCCCCCCCCCTTTCCGAGTTCCAACGTGTGTCTCCCTTTGCATCATGCTCACAGCTTCTCCTTCCTTCTCCCTCTCTCCTTGTACATATCTTTATAATTCTCACTCTGTGGAAAAGGAACCCCTCTCTTCTATTACTTTTTCCACATTTACGAGAGAAAATTGGAAAAAGAGCACGAATTTTCATTGCGATCACTCTCAGAGATGTTCCTCTCTCTATCTTCATGTCCATCTTCATTGCCAGCTCACTTTCCTATCTCTCCCAATCTCCCTCCCTTCTTCTTCTCTCTGTTAACGGCTTGTTCTCTTAACAAGGAGTTTCAGTCAACCAACTACATTTTCTCTTCCACTTTTCTTATTTTTATCTCATAACATATAGACAAATCTTCAAATAATGTGTCTGCTGCCCTTTTCTCAGTCCGACCGAATGCGAAAAATAATTTTTTTTTTTTTTTACAAAAAAGGCTTTTGAGCTTCTTTTCCACTCCCACGCTGAACTAATCTCTTGTTTTCCCAACAACATATTTTCTTTTATAACTATCGATTCAATTATACGTGGATGATAGAAGGAACGAAGACATCACCGATCATCTCTTCTCATCAGATGCATTCTGATTTCAAAAATCGAAATTATTCGAGTTTTCTAGTCAAATGAACAGCTTTGTTAAGAAAATAGGAGAAGTTTCAAATTACTGAAGAAGTAGCCAGACGTACAGAGAAGTGCCACACACAGAGGCAGGCTAACAAACTTTTGAAAGAGAGAGAGAGAGAGAGAGAAAGGGGAGTGAGTGAGTGAAGCAAAGATTGTGCTAGACCCTACTAGCAACCCCTCAGGCATTCATTAATATTTATAATTAAATGAATTGAATTTCATACATTTTTCAGCTTTTGCTTCTTTTGCTTGACGTTGTTTGATCGTTTTCTTGCTCACCTAGCTTAATGAGCAAAACGAAAAGCTTTCTTTTTGAACATTCTCCTTCTTTCTATCCATATATGTGGCTTGAACTCTGATCCAGATGATGGTGGTGGTGAGGCAAAAAGAACAAAGTCACCTTCCTTGCCACACTTGGAAAAGTTACCAAGCTGCCCGCTAGAGCATTGAAGCTGGGCTGACTGAAGCTGAGAAGCTCGCTTGACTGCTCATCTGCTAGAGATGAGAAAAAAAACGGAGAGCCAACAAGAGATATAAAGAAAAAAAAAGAATGTGAGAGAGATAGAGCGAAAGAACGAACTAACCAAGCACGGGAAGGAAGGGAGAGGAAGAAAATGCCCTGAGGCTGTCTGTTGCTCTCTCAAGTTTTTCATATATTTTTCAGCTTCTTCCATTGACTGGCCAGTGAGAGCTTCAGTATTCTCTCTCTAGCCTTATAGCCATCAGCCTACTCTGGTACCTCGTCGTCTCTTCTTACACCCCCACCATCCACCCTCACGCAGCGTTTGTTTCAAGCTTTTCCTTCTACTTCTCTCTGTCTCTCAATATATATATATATACTAATACATTTAACTATATATATATAGTTGTAGTAGTTCTTCTATTAATCTTTTTAAATTCATATTTCCTATTCATTTACATAATTCTGTGTGTATGTATGTGTATGTACTTTCATGTTGAAGAATATTCGTTTTTGTTTTAACATGGTCAAACGCCCCCCCCTCCCTGCTCCGCACGAAACCTCCCTCATTTCCTCCTTTTTTTTATAATTTTGACGTTTATGTTCTTCCTCTTCTTTGCAAGCATCCAGCATCAGCAGATGAAGCAGCATATTCCTCTTCTCATTCCTTTCATTATCTTTCTTCTTCTCTTCGACACACCACCACCCTCCTTTCCTCTCTTCCAGCCCTCAATTATCACTAGTTTACCAAGCTTCATCATACCGGAAAGAGCAAAAAGACAGCTGAATCATGACATAGAAGCACATTAGACATTCCCTCTTCACCAACATGACAATTTCAGTAATTTCATCGCCTTCTTCCATTCAAGACCCCATAATGATGTTGAAAAGAAAAAAACAAAGATAAAACATATTTCTTGTTACTTTGAGCATTTTTCCTTCTTCCTTCCTATGAGCCTATGAATGTACGTAACATCCGACAAGCCCTTTTATCGATCTCTCTCTCTCCCTCTCTCCATCTCTCCATCTCTCTTTCTCCATTTTTTCTGTCTTCCTCCGTCCCTCTCTTTCTCCCTCCCAATAAAGGCATTGAGTTCTTTAAGAGTTCAAAAGACATTTGTCCTTCTCTCTTTCCATATCCAATTTAACTTTTAAATGTTCCAATCTTTACTTTCACTCTTTTAGTTTTCTCTCCCTCTCTCTCTCTCTCTCTCTCTCTCTCTCTCTCTCTCTCTCTCTCTCTCTCTCTCTGTTCATATC